CGCCTTAATCGAGAGGTGCATGATCCTCGTATGCCTGGTCGTGGTACTCATGACGCATCCTATCCAGTAAGTGATACACTCTGATTTTTGCATGATTAAATTAATGTCTTGGCAGCTGCAGGATTACCAACGCCTCCATCCACATGATCTATACTATCATCACAATGGCAATGGCCATGGTCACGAAAGCCCTCCTGAGCACTACGATACTCGCAACCCTACACGAGATTTGTCCCCAGTGGCAGAATCCAGCACAGACCATGGCATGGAACGGGAGCGCAGTCGCTCGCAGGCATACTCCGACCATGACAGATATAGCCCGGCTATGGACTATGGATACACGCGCCGTGAATATGGATACCCTCCCCGTGGTGATTTTGACGATCGTAGCCATGGAATGCCTCCCCAGCACAGCAGAGGTTACTATCCTGACCCCCATGCTCATGGGAGACGACCTGGATACACCGCGGACTCCAGGTGGGCCGGTCACGATTCACGCAGTCCATACTATGGACCAAGTCCCAACTCGAGCTCTCAGGCAGAGTACCCAGGCAAGGCGCCTCCTTCTACTTGACCGTATGTATCTCCTTTAGCCCCCCGGTTCATTATTATGCTTTCTATTTTTTGTCGTCCAAGTTGTAGTCCGGTCATTTCCACCTTCCTGCCCATCCCTGTTCTGCTATTCTGCCTTTTTAGTATGCCGCTCTCTTCTGCACCACCTTCGATGTGTTTTGTTTCTTGTTCTGCTGTTCTGCGTTTATGCCGCTCTCATATGCACCGTGACTGCCCTCGATGTGTTTTATTTCTCGTACCTGACCCTTTTAATTCATCCTAGTACTTCTGTATGTAGTTCAACATCTTGTCGTGCTGTTACCATCCATCCAATACATTGAGTATGTTGCTTGAACCAATGTGTGAAATTTTCACCACTACTACAAGCACGAGTGTCGAGCGGAACACCCGTTGAAAAAACAAACGGAAAACATAAGTGAATACGTGACAGTCCTCCAAAACATCGCAAATGTTCCCCCCCAAAAACCTCCTCGACGACCCTCTCAAACCTCCTCGACGACCTTCTCAAACCTCCTTGAAGACCCTTCCAAACCTCCCTGACATCCCTCTCAAACCTCTCCAATGACCCTCTCAAACCTCTCATACGACCCTCTCAAACCTCTCATACGACCCTCTCAAACCTCCCTCACAACTCTCTCAAACCTCCTCAACGATCCTCCCAAGCCTCGCAGACACTCCTCTCAGACCTCCTTTAGAAGAATAGTATTTGTCAGTTTACAAAGGTGAGGGTCACGTACCTTGGTAGGAAAATTCAGTAGAATCTGGAGGCAATGGGCGGGAGGTTCTTTCAGGAGGGACGTCTTGGAGATAGGTTAGCGCACACCAAGAAACCCAGTCTGAAAGACCGTGGGAAGGTCTAAAAAGTGCTGCCAAGGGTGCTATGACTACTGTACTGCTTATAAGTTACCCCCATGCGACCGGGTGCCGTGCGTTGCACAAAATTGAAGAAAGTCTTAGAAGTGAGCATGAGTAGTTTGCTTTGCATCCTGGATTCAGTACTCACTGGTACCCCTTGCGCCTTATTTAAATAATACTAACAGCCTGCCGGTGCAAAGGTTTGCAACATGCATGACTTCCTAGTCCAGCCAGCATCCATCAGTGAACCGGTGAACAGATGAGAAAGTTATGCAGAGTAATATATAGTAGAGCATTGCAACAATCTTTGTATATCTGCTGACCGGTTTCACATAAGATTATTTGGCCTTATTGAGGAAAGACGAATGCACAAGCACGCCAGCCTAATGGCATTATTTGTTTCAGAACCTTTTGAGTTTGGATGTATGTAAGAAAAAAAGAGCGGGCACAGGTTCATGAACTTTAATACCGACTGATACTGAGAGGGTCAAGGAAGAAGGTTGCAATGTACTAAAGTGAAATACACTTTGGCGATGTCCCCAGTGATACGGACACATATCATTTGGCTTTCACTGAATATTTTTTTACTAGCTTAGGGTGATGATGACATTGATGTAACTCTCTCGAGGGCAAATGATATGAGTCTGTGTTATAACCAGACCGTAACAACAGAGTTGTACGTGTTGCACGGGTATTGGGCGAATATCACTCAAAGAAATATATTTCACGCAGCACAGACGATGCTCTGGTATATTTTAGAACAGAACCTACTCCTCTTGTACATAGGAGTATGTATTACCTCTCAATGAAGATATCGTCAGTCTTGACTGATTAATGGTTGCCCGTCACTTGGAGCGGTACATTCTATGAAGGGCAAACATCAGATCATTTCTTCGTGCAAAATCAAAAGCATACAAGTTTGATTAAGTTCAAAATGTTCACGGTTGCGACAATATTTGTAAATGGTTCGAAATTCGATGTAGCGCTGTAAGCATACGTAGTGATAGTGCTAAATTGTAATCTCACACAATTATTGTCATCTTTACAATTTGAACTCTTTCCAGCCTTTCTAGCCCGAAACATCTGAAGATCTTGTGGACTACTCAATCACCCCATGGGTGCCTCAAAGCAGACGACCGCTGATGTATAGCTTGCTTCGAATCCTTGTCCGATCTTCTGTACATTACAATCTCACAGAATCCTTGGAAAAACTATCAAACAAGTCTTTAGTGGAACTAATGAGGAGTAGCACACATTATAAACATTATGCAGTCTTATTCCGAAACTCACTTACAATAGAACTCAATGCAATGATATTGTGGATTACTGAGCCACATTATGAGTACCTCAAGGCAGCTTGCGCATGGTTTACATGTCTTATTCGGTCTTATTCAAAAACCAACCTACAGTAGAATTTGACGCACTGCTGCTTCATCGTCACAATAAAGACCTAGCTGTTTTCATCGAGAAGATCATCCTCCTGGATCTCTGAGAATAAGGTAGGTCGGTGTTCCCTAACCTCCCATTTGAGCTTGGGAATATTTGTATTTGACGATTGATGCACTGCTGCTTCATCGTTGCAATAAAGACCTAGTTGTTCTCATTAAGAAGACCGTCCTCCTTGTATGCATTATGCGGTCTGACTCCGAAACTCACTTACAGCAGAACTGGATGCAATGATATCGCAGATTGCTGAGTTGCATCATGAGTACCTCAAGGCAACTTGAGTATGGTTTATATGTGTTATTCGGTCTTATTTAGAAACTAACTTACAGTAGAATTTGACGCACCCCTGCTTCATCGTCACATTAAGGACCTAGTTGTTCTCATGAAGCTGAGCTAAAGAATATTTGTATTTGACGATGTCACGTACAAGGAAGATTATTGTGGCATACTAAACAATCAGAAGCGACTCGTTGGACAGACTCAGATCACACCGTATTGTACTCAAATCTCACATCCAGTCTCCAGATAACAAATTCGTCAAGTAATGATAGCATTCATGTGATAAAAATGACTGATTAATGGTAACATTAGCAGCAGAGGGAGCAGTGTACTATGTAGGACTGAACCAAGCAAGGAAGATAGTGATCAACAAATAAGTAAAAAAGTGAAGTACTAGCTAGTCAGAATCAAACACGGTGTCTTCCATCTGCTGTCTCTGGGAAGTGAGAACATTGACGGACATTTTGGAAATAACGTCCGGCGTCAAGTCCTGCCAATGGTTTCTTCCGAAAACTTTTCTGTGTGGGGGGTGAGTGATCACAGCGAGTCACTGACAATTGATGACTGTTACCTGGTCCACCACTCAAGAAGCCCGTTCAGCCTGACTTGCGCAGCTGGACCCGGGGCATCCTCAAAGAAATCTACGATATTATTCCAGAAAAGCTGATAGTCAAAGTCTCCATCCACAGTGCGCCAGGAGGTGATGCAGGAAAGTGCAAATCGGATCTGCAGAATTCAGCTTCAACTTCCATTAAAGGCGAGTATTAATACTGACTTGGCAAGCAGTGTACGCGATTGCGCGAGGTGTAACCTTTCTCATACCTATGATGGAGGCCACGCAAGTCTTTACCTTGGCTTGATCTGATCGTCTCCCCGGGCGCTGGTTGTTCTCAAGAATGTCGGTGCTATCCCCTTCACGATCCACTTCGTTGGCTGAGGAAGGAGAAGTAAATATCGCCTTGAACCCCTGTGATGCGACAAATTATCATGAATCAGTCTTAAAAAACAGGCTGCTCACCATAACTAATAGCTTCAACTTCATCAGACCACGCTCCAGACTCTTGGCGTCCGCTTCATAATTTTCATACATGAACGACAGCCACAAATTCTCGGATACAATGAAAGCAATTGTGCGGTCACGAATTCCAGCCCTGACGCTGGACAAAATATCGGCAACATGTCACAGTGAGTAACAGTGATTATCACTTACAGTGGGTCATCCCAGCACCATTCCACTGGGCAGAGTAGCTTACCGCACACATCACTGACGAAGCCTCGATGGTACTTATCGTCGGTCCTGATGAGCGGAGTTGGACGATACTCCACATTCACCCATGAAGCCATGAGATCTTTGAGGGTTCCAGTGTTGTTGCCATGAGCTGAGTCCGCACCTCGCTTGAGCTAAATTGGAGATGAGAACGAAAGTGACAGGTGGTGACAAGTCGAGACAAACCTTCCTGAGCATATCTTCTATCTCCTCGTGGTCAAGTTTTGCCAGCGTCTCGTGAAGCCATGGCAGTACCTTCGCGAGTTCAATATAGCCACGTTGAAGGCAGTCTTCTCTGGTCTTTTTGTCAGTAAGCACAACAATATGAACATGGCTAGTGACTTACTCTGTAGTGGAGCTGCTGTCTCTCTCTTCACAACGCCGATCATTTTCAGCGATCAGGTCCTCTATTGGAGTGTAAAGGATGACCATACGACGAATTGCTCGTCCCTGTGACACATAATAAGTCGTCTTCCTGTGTGATTGAATAAGGCATTGCTAAATGCAATTTTCAGGGAAGTTGAGAACATAACACACCTGTTCTTTGTCGTCTTGTCCTGCTTCAAAATTTTGATATCCTCCATGAGGGTGGCAATTTTCCGCTTCGCCCTAGCATGAGGAGAAGTTTGTAAACACAAGGAGACATCTGGAGGCTGAGGGTTGCTCGAGTTGTGCTCGGGTACTGACATAGAAGTGTCAAATGATCAGCGAGAAGGAGAAGTGTGGAAAGGGTACAGAAAAGTGAATGACAAGTGAAAGAGCCTACCAGACCATCTTATATGTGGCCCCGGCACTGTCACGACTCTGATGGAATATGTTGTTGGCCTGACTTGTGTAAATCTCAAGCCTTTTTTGGGTAGTCCAAGGAACTTGCCGTTTGCTAATTACTGATGAGTTCTTTCCACCGAGCCTTTCTGGGCCATATCTCAAGGCCTTTTGGGGATAGTCCAAGAAGGATGTGATGACAGTTCCAAACAGTGACCCGTCATTGATGATATCATGATGAGGGGAACAATATTCCTCAAGGACCCATGTGGATCTGCCACCAGATGAGCTAAGGAAGAGGACCATGGAAGAAGCTACTGGCCATGTATGATATATGCTTCCAGACTCGGAATGTGGAATGTCACGGTATTCAAATTGAGGACTAGTGTCGCCGTGAACTCAAACTTATAAAAAAAGTCGGTCAAACTGAGTAAGGGGATGTGAAAACCGGCTTGCACGGTAGTTCGAGAACCGTCGGACTTGTGGAGTCTGTGACATGGTAGAGTAACCTAGTGGTTGCCATCAATATTCGCGCAGAAGTAAAGCCAGATGGTCCTGCATGGTCATGATAGCACTAGTAGTACATTATTCACATTCAGGAGTATCTCCAGATTCCCTAGTAAATGGTAAAGCCGCAAATTGATACTACTATAGCACAGTTAGACTTCGATGTGCATCAACGGTGTAGTACTCATGTACTCTTTACATCCAAATGTCTTCCTATGGTAGCGAAGGAGGAACATTACAGCATCAATAGAAGCATGACGCGAGACTGACTACTATATGCACCATCTGACTGTGTTCGTGTTTGTCAATGATATTCATCGCATCGTCGTCGAGGCCGACGACATCCATGTCTCCCTACATCAGTAAAAGAAGGATGAACGTAGTGTGAATAGAAAGTGTCACAAGACATATTATGATACGTACCATGATCTGATCGTCTTTGTCCTCGTCAATATTCATTGCAGCGTCGTCATTAAGGCCGACGACATCCATCTCTCCCTACGTTAGTAAAAGAAGGATGAACGTAGTGTGAATAGAAAGCGTCACAAGACATATTATGATACGTACTGTGATCTGATCGTCTTTGTCCTCGTCAACATGCATCATGTCTTCGTTATCAAGGCCGACGACATCCATCTCTCCCTACGTTAGTAAAAGAAGGATGAACGTAGTGTGAATAGAAAGTGTCACAAGACATATTATGATATGTACTGTGATCTGATCGTCTTTGTCCTCGTCAACATGCATCATGTCTTCGTTATCAAGGCCGACGACATCCATCTCTCCCTATAGTAGTGTGAAAGGAGAAGTGTAATGTGAATATAAAGCACCGCAAGACATACAATACTCACTGTGTTAGCGACCCGGGGTTCGTCTTCGTCGATATGCATCGCGTCTTCGTCATTGAGGCCGACGACCTCCATCTCTCCCTATAGTTGTTACAGTAACATGAACGTTACGCGTGTCATTTCATTCTTCGGACTCGTCTGGACCCAGACCATGGTTATGATTCTATTTCCATCTCTTTCTTTTTGAATCCATTGTTCTGAAACGCGAGAAGTTCTCACTTCTCCCCCTTGATCATAGAAGCCATAGCTTCTTCCACACCCTATGCCCTCTCCATTATCTCGGTTCCTTCTTTGATGGGGATTCCCCATCCCCTTTGCCCTTACCGTTCAACCGGTACTATTTACCCTTTCTGGTATGTGACTCATACATACCCCCAACCCTTACCGTTCCACCGGTACATCACCTTTACGTATATATATCTCATTTGTACTGTAGATAGATTCTCTAACTTGAATCTACTCGGTTCTCATCTGATCTTGTCGTTGGGTCTGAACTTCTCTTATCTAAGAGAACTCCCTCTGTACACAGAACCATCTTCTCTTGAGACGATACTCTTGAGTTGAACTACGTCTCTTGGATCATATCCTTGAGAAACTCCAATCGACTCTACGCAAGTAAGGGCTTCAACCCTTACTTAGACTTAGCGCAGGCAAAGCTCCTTGCTGGGCTAGCGCCGAAGGCCACACTTCGAATGCCCCTTGCGGGTTTAGCGCCGCTGGATCTCATCCAAGAGGTTTCATGTAACAATAGTAGTGTGAAAGGAGAAGCGTAGTGTAAATATAAAGCACCGCAAGACATACAATACTCACCGTGTTAGCAACCTGGGGTTCGTCTTCATCGATATGCATCATGTCTTCGTCAGTGAGGCCGACAACGTCCATCTCTCCCTATGATAGTGTAGAAGGAGGAGCGTAGTGTCAATATAAAGCACCGCAAGACATACAATACTCACCATGTTAGTGATTCAGGGTTCGTCTTCGTCAACATGCATCGTGTCTTTGTTATTGAGGCCGACGATGTCTATCTCTCTCTATAGTAGTGTGAAAGGAGAAGTGTAGTGTAAATATAAAGCACCGCAAGACATATGATACTCACCATGTTAGTGATTCGGGGCTCGTCTTTGTCGATATTCATCACATCCTCGTCATTGAGGCCGACAACGTCCATCTCTCCCTATGGTAGTGTAGGAGGAGCGTAGTGTAGATATAAAATGCCACAAGACATATGATACACACCATTTTAGTGATCCAGGGTATGTTAGCGTTGGAAGAGTAAATGAAGATGAAACGCAAGATTTAAGCTTATTCAAGACTTGATCTTTGACCGTAAAGCTTTACCAAGTTCACATCTAGCTGAAAATAAGCCTTGACACCTCTAATTCACCATCCGACGTCTTGGACCAGGCGACAAGATTGTCTATACACCAAGTCAATCAGTGACAGTTCCAAATGGTGAATTTCAAGAGCCTACCAGGCGATGTGAGGGAGATGCAAGCGAAAGAACACAATATGTACAGCAAGTCGTACGACAGGCTTGACCTCCAGGATGCCCTCCAATAGAGTCTGAAACATGACTCCCAAGGAATTATGCCTGACTGAGCTCAGCCAATATACGAGGATGATTGAGACCTACTGCGGATTTGGAGAGGAGTTTTATGATGTCTGAGGCTTCTTCTGACGATGCCAAAACACAATCAGCGATGACAGCAGTAAGTGAAATGTCTCGCTCTATGATATTGCTAAGGAGGGTTGTCAGTTTGGGCAAGTCGGAGAGGTGGACGGGCGTGTCAGACTCGAGATTAAATCTAGAGAGAGTGGTCAGAGTAATAAAGTAAGGAGGCGAATGAAACATACGTCTCCACTCTAAGAGCATGATAGCATATTTAGACGCGGTCAGGTGAACTCTATCTGTACCCTTTTCCATGGGGTCGTAAAGGTTACACGCATCCTTGTCCCACAAAGTTCTATCCTCGGACTCCTTGACAAATGCCATATGGATGTATGTCTCCAAGAAAGAGTTGTATATGCGAGACTCAAGCAAGGGCTCCGAGTCGTGGGGCTTGCTTCTCAAAGATCTGCTTTGCACAGGGAACGTCGCACAGGTTATGCAAACATGCATCCATGACAACGAGCTGCTCCTGAGTCAGAGAATCGGTGAAGTAGAAACTGTTCAAAGCTGAAGCACGGTCATCTGTTCAGAAGGGGTGTTGGCAGGATTGTGTACGGCGTTCTGCGCTTCAGAAAGCCATTCATAGCTAGTAGGTCTCATGACTACCTATGATCATATTGATGGACTCATGAACTCTGAACTGACGACAAGGTGGTTTGCTGGTACTTCCCTCTGAGCCAACAGGGAAGGATAACTTTCTGGATGGGGGAGAGGGACTTGGGAAAATGTGATAGCAGGTGTATTTGCTGTCTTTGTAGGACTCTTGGAGTTGCAACGTTGAATAAAGACGAGTAGGACGAGGAAGACATCGCCTAGATCGAGTTCGCTGAATCCCAAACACTATCATCCGAGTAGGGTTGTGACAAGCAGTCACCTACATATACTACTAGTAGTACATACTGTAGATCGACTATGGCAACTTGCAACTTGAAATGGACTCTATTGGCTGCTTCACATCTGCATTCATTTCTTGTCTGAACCAGCAGTATATCATATCTAAGGCCTCGTCACATACTACGACACCAGAAACGATGTTACAACAAGTTAAAGCCATGGAATATCATATTATGAGATTCTGAATAACACAAAGTAAGATAATAACTACCAGCCTATTAACTGCATTTTGATCAGAAGCTGGGACGGATGTTCTCTTCATCTTCATCGTCAGGTTGGGCTCATGCTTTCTTCTTTCCTTTAGCTTTCCTTCTCCCTTTCGCAAGTTCTGCCTTCAAGTGAGTTTTAGAAACACAGCTCTGAAAGGTATATGCAGCGCCCTCTGACATCCCAACTTTCTTCTCGTAGAATTTAACACCGAAATGAGCTGCGGTCGGCAGATACAAGATGCCACAATCCTTTAGTTTATTGGCATATTGAGGGAAGTTCATGGCAGGGTAGCGCAAGTGGACATTTGTAAGGACGTCCTTGATATGTTGCGGCGGTTCCTCATTGTCAGACTCTTCATCACTGTCCATGTAGAGTGCAAATGTCCTCTTGAGTGGTTGAGGAGCCATGCGACCTTCTCCCTGTTCTCTGGCAAGTACTCCATCAGAGATGTCATTGGAAGAGGATAACAGGTGAATGTGATTATGAATGATCAGTGATATGATTTCAGTGGGCACCCTCTGGAGTGGTGATGTAGTTCGCTCCTTATGTGTCTTTCGAACTTTATCGAAGTGAGGCGTGCTGGGCAGAGTGACACAGGAGTTGTCTGGATCTCCAGTTTCGAGCTGCAATTCGTGAGCACTGCGTCATACTCTGTAGCAAATAAGTATCACAAACCAAATATCTAGCCCACTCCTGCAGGTCCTGGGTACACAGTGGGTAGTGCGGAGCATTTGGCAGCGATGAATCCACCCAACAGAATGTGTCCTCTCCAAGTTGATGGTCAGAGCAGCGCAACTTACTCTTGACTTTCTCCAACTCCTTGTGTAGGATACAAGCGATGACGGACTCTGCTTGCCTGAAGAAGACACGACTGCCTTTCGTTTGGTTTGCTTGAAGTCTTTCGGTACAGGATCCTGCAAGAAGTTACTACTGCCATGTCGTGCTGACCACTCGTAACCATAAAAAATGTACAGTATTGACAACTTCAATCGCAACTACCTTCTTGTTCCTGCCAGAACTTTGTTCCGCCCTCGTGGCTTTGAAAGCGCTATCAATATCAAGTGATGTCAAAAGCCGATGAGGTGGGTCCATGCGGCGGGCAGTAGACAGGCGCCAGCCTAAGTGCTGAAACTCCTTTGGTACATCCATTGTAGCCTTTATGGTGTCAAATATATCGAGGTGGCAATCTGACTTGGAGTAAGACTGGCCCACATATGTGGTCCATTTATCTCTATCTGTGGTATGGAGAGGAACTCTGAACTCGACTGGTGTGACATGACATGAGCATCCCATCAGGCCTGAGTGAAACGGACTTCGCTCACTTTTTTTGAGTTGGACATTGTCCCGTTGTGCAGTAAACAGCTCTTCATCCATCCCCTCGTAAAAATGCCGAACCGCGCGCATGCTGCTGACCTCATCTTTGTTGACATTTGGTGGTTCTGGATGAACACCTAAGAGAAAAGCTGCAGTTTGCGCACGGGTGCGCTGACGAGCAGAAGGAAATGAGTTGACCATTCTAGGGGTGCAGTATGTGACAGGCTTGGCAACAACACTCACTGTATCCGACTTTTATCGAAATGGCGAAGGCTCAAATTGGTGAGATGAGTACTACTACTAGTACTGTTAATCTGGGCAAATAATGATGATGTGTAAGTATCACTCACCCAGAACTGGCAGCTGAACATATTGGAGCTGTCAATGACGAGGTTCAGTCATGGTGAGAGACCTAATTATACTTACGGTACCATTTAACCATATGTAATACAATGAGGAACCTTGATGGAGAAGAGACAGAGATCCCAATTGGGAGATGTTAATTAACCTGGTGAGGCAAAACAAATGCCAAATCGGAACTGACAAACATTTGAATTTTGGGGTCGTGGTAAGCCTGGCCCATTGCGATGTAACTCACGGGGACCAAGTGACTAAGTGCTACCAGCCTGAGAGACGTCAGTCATGGTCACGGGTAGCTATAGAATCACCTACTGGCCCGGGGCTGCCACTGGCAGCCTATCATGATGCCAAGGAAAAGGGGTGCTTTGGCAAAACCAAGAAGTAAATGGGTGAGAAGAACCCTGGTATAACTTCTTGGGTCGAACTATGATCAGATGCCACAATGGCAAAAAATGAGAATGCGTACTTCTGTGTGATCCCTGGGTACGGTTCAAAGTGTTCATGGTCATGAGTGGCCGGTGTCGACAAACCTGTTAATGTTACCACCATTGAATGATTCCGAGTCAGTCAGTTGATGGTAATAACATATCTGGGGAACACATGAATATCCGAACTTACCAGAGACATGTCGGACTGTTGGGAACCTTAGAGACAGGTATGTTGCTGTAGTACGCCTGACGCAAAGGGAGTCACGGTATTCAACCTGTGAGCCCATTATCAGACTTGGGTCGGAATGTCGGAGGTCTCACGGGTCAAGAGAAACTAAGTTGTTGCTCATGGCCGTTGCACAAATGAAGGACAGGCTGGCCTAATTTCAAAAAGTAAAGTTAATGATCATCATTCAAGTTGGATAGTCCGAGTCACGGCATTGATGGTATAGTTTGACACGGTTACTGGTACTAATGCCAGTGATCATCTCAAAAAGAGAGGTTATCATCCGACTCAACTGCAGGTGCCAACTTGTCCCACTCTCCTCCCTCAATACCGTTGCAGCCAAGGTCATGTTCATCTTCTGATTCGGACTCCATGTCCTCCTCCCCTTCCGAGTCAAGTTGAAGATCAACATCTATCTGTTGGTCGACGTCCATACTATCATCTTCCACTGGTGTTGTCGCTGACTCGAGGGTAGAACAGTCTCTAACTATCCTCCTCAAGGCTACTGGGTGCCCTACGCCTAAGTCAGTGTAACGGATGAACATATCGCGATCGACAAAACTAGCTCCAACAAATCAGAGTTGTTAAGTCACGAGGAGACATACTGCACTCACATCCCGACATGAAACTCTTTCCAGTCATCTAGTTCATCCTTGGCTCGTGCCAATGAGTTTCCGTGGTGTAGTGAAGTTACGCCGCACCCTGAAACAAATGCAGGAATCAAATGTGTTCCTTGAATCACTTGGCCTGGATCAAGGAATCCAAATGTGTCATAGTCCGACTCTTCCACAAAGGCCAATTTGGGCAGGCGAGCACACTGTATGCCTGACTGATGGTCCGACGATATCAATGGTGCGAGCCACCTGACATGGAGGACCGTGAGGTGCTGTTTCTCGGTTCGACTACCTTCGAGCCACGTGTCTATATGGTAAATACCCAGTACACGAGTGTACCAATATGGGTGGCTAGGTGAGGTTTCTCCTGAGAGCACCATAATATCTGCATTGGTGTTGGGGTTGATGGTATCGTATTCACGCCTCATGTCATAGGTCGTGTAGTGCACCTGCATGGTTTTAACCGAGTAGACAATATTGTTGGGAATGATGACTGAATTGTGTTCCTTGTTCGAAAATGTACAGTCACAATGACTGACATCTAACTTCTTCAGCCGATATAAAATGTGATCCTTTAGTTTTGAAATGAAGTTCTGAAAGCTGTCATAAGGTAACTGGTGGGCAAACTGGGCCGAAAGTTTACCTTGGTAGCTGGATCGCCATTGTGTTCTCTGAGGAATTCGAACAAAGAGACCGGATTGTTTCGATTGGTTGTGATAAAATATCAGTCTTTGGACAATGTTGAAGCAGGAGAGTCGGCCGGTGATTGGTTGATTGAGGGAGAGATACCTGCTGATTCCGCAACTCACTGTAGCACACGGCGCCTCCGTTCGTGCTTTGCTAGTTGTGATGGAGTATCTAATTTGCTAGTGAGGGGATAGAATGCCTTTAATACTCTGTGCACCAACTCCCCCTATCCAATAATATAACTTCAGAACCAACCTCAAGGGGAGAGACAATGCTTACAATCTGAGTGGTAAAAGAGTCCGTCATACCAAAGAGCTTGATGGTTCGTACATAATTGCCCATTGCATGAAACTTGTAGGTGCTCAAATTAAACTTTTTCACTCTGGGTCCCCCAGATTCTGAAGAACCATCATTAGGTCCAGCACGCTGGGCAAACCTTCGTTGGCGAGCTGCCTTCTCTTTCGGCAATTCCACAGTCTCAAAGACAGCACAGGTAAAGTCGCGAAATTTCCGCAACTGCTTAGAGAGAATCGTGAACGTCTCCTCGAGGAAACCCAGACTCAACTCTGTATGAATTCGTAGCTTTGCGAGTGCGTGCCACTGAGCAAATCTGTATAAAAGAGACTGCACGATCATATCATGGCTATCGGGAAACAAGCCTTCAAACACAGGTATTGCACACTGAAAAAAGGCCATCGGCAAGCTAAGTAGAGAATAGTCGAGTCAAGTAAAAACAAACCTGTAATATGTCTTCAAAGTCCCGTGCTGCCAGTTTCTTCATCTCGGACGTGTTGTTTGCAAACATTCGAATCGCCCCGTTACCAAAGGTCGGAACTTGATGAAATCTATAATCAGACGGAGTTTATTACGTGGAGAGACTGTCCTAACCTTACATACCTTGCATCTAGGGTTGCCACCAGTTTATCCCCCCCGGAAGTGAATAAAGGATCCTGACGAGGTGAGTGAATAGGGCCTTCTGTTACAGTAACATGGGCATTACGCATGTCATTTCATTCTTCAGACTCGTCTGGACCCAGACCATGGTTACGATTCTATTTTCATCTCTTTCTTTTTTGATCCCGTCGTTCTGAAACGCAAGAAGCTCTCGCTTCTTCCCCTAGATCACAGAAGCCATGGCTTCTACCGCACCCTATGCCCTTTCCCTTGTTTCGGTTCTCTCATTGATGGGGATTCCCCATACCCTTTGCCCTTACCGCTCAACCGGTACTTCTTACCTATGTATACTTATGACTCACACAACCCTCTACCCTTACCAGTACTTCGGTAATACTCCCGTTACCCTGTACCCTTACCGTTCCACCGGTATTTCCCCTTTACGTACATATATATATCTCACTTCACTGTAGATAGATTCTCTAACTTGAATCTACTTGGTTCTCATCTGATCTTGTCGTTGGGACTGAACTTCTCTTGCCTAAGAGAATCCCCTCTGTACAAAGAACCATCTACTCTTGAGACAATACTCCTGAGTTGAATTCCATCTCTTGGATCATATCCTTGAGAAACTCCAATCGACTCTATGCAAGTAAGGGTCTCAACCCTTACTCAGACTTAAGCACAGGCAAGCTCCTTGCTGGGCTAGCACCAAAGGCCACGCTTCGAACACCCCTTGTGGGTTTAGTGCCGCCAGATCTCATCCAAGAGGTTATGCGTAACACCTTCCAGGTGCCCAACTCACACTCGTGCATAAAATCTACAACAAGCATCTGAAATGGATCAAGGCCCAGTGCTCCCAACTTCTGGGCAAAAATGTTCTGCGAGTCGCTCGTCTAAGCCGGCACAGGAGAACAGCAGACAGATTCACACTTACCAGAGTAGGCACCCACGAGCCCTCTCCCAGCATTTCCTCGACTTTCATACCGTCTACAGTATTTCCCAATTTATAGATATGTTCTCGTGCCATGATAATATTAGTTGATACGTAGACTCGAAGATTGTTTATACGGTTCTTCATATCTTGAAGGAGGCCTAGATAAGGGAACACACTTTTTGGCATGAGACAACGTGGACACGGGCATAAGCCCATGTCTTTGATAGTGGCGATCAAAACCCTGAAACTTGTTGAGTACATTGCCCATATTCACAGAAATAAAGAACCCGCTTTTCGGGATAATCGGCCAAGTACGTAAATATATGAGGAAATATTCTGCGGAACACACCGTTGGCACATTTGAGAATGATACCATGGCGGTACGCGTGAAGAAAGTCTTGATCAAGTAAAGTATCCCAGCATGCATGAAATAATTCACGCCGACAGTGAGTGTGAAGGGCAGCCATGCCACTTTTGGATATGCGAGGCAGGCTGCTCAGAACATCTTTGACTTTATCAGGAAGCTGATAGGAGTATTGATAGCGATTCTTAATAGTACAGCAAGGAAACTTACCGACGGTAAGAAACCCACAAGGTGACATGCACCAGACTTGGGTGCAGAACGAGCGTACTTTGTCAGATTTCCAAAGTACATGTAGAGGGGCCAGGCCTTTGCCATTCCGAAATTTGCAAGATGCGTGGCATCCGAAAAAAAACATAAGACCGGCAACCACCCGTTCCAGTGTACATCCAGGCTCCCTTGGGAGCTTCTGCACCTGGTCTTGGGCATCCAGCCAAGAGTCAGAGGTATACAACTCGTCAAATACTCGCTCTTCATGGTTATCCAACGGATCCTTCCAAAGACGCTTGAATGGCTGAAAGGTGAAATGCACTCGCTTGTATGTCTGCAAAAGCTGACCAAATTACTTCGACGAGGGGGCGGAAATGGAATCCAGGAACGGAAAAAGGTCTTGCATCATCATCCTTTGATTTTGTGGGAATCTTAATGGTGACACTGGCCTGTTTCCAGTTGTCCAGAAACTCGATCTTCCTCCCGCTGGGGTCATTGTCTAATTCCTGCAAACTTTTCCGCACTGAGAAATCCTCCAAGTGCTTTAAGTCAAAATCTTCTGCCAGCATCACTTCTTTGACTGAGGCAGGTAACTTCAACCTCAGATTTTTTATTGCTGCTAGAGTTCATCCAACACATGAGTCGATAGATCATCATGTTGGGAAACAGGGTATGGAGGTGGGAGGATGTCTGGATCAGTCTCCAGTGGCAGGGGCTATTGGACACGTGGTTGAAAGCAGCTGAGGACGGGACGAATTGATCTGGCTCAAAGGACGGGCAACGAGGGTATAGTCGACAAAGTCCTAGAGAATTGAAGGTTGTCTGAAGTGTATTTCATAACGTCAATAGGACTCTCCAGATCCTAGATTGAGGTGGGGCTGGATTTCGAGAACGTCCAGAAGCATCGACATTATCCAAGTTATCGGTGCCCTCGTCGGAAAGAGGAACATCCTCAAAATGTCTAGGTATTCGTCGCGTTAGACTCGGAGGGTGCAAAGAATCTTCTGAAGAGCAAAGAGCAGAACAAGTAAGTTATCAGTCGACTGGTGGAGGTAACTCAAAGACATACCACAAACATTGGGATCAACTGCGGGCAGCGGCTGCTCTGACGCAGGCCATTGCTGGAAGTGCTCCGAGTCACTCGGCCCTTCGGAGCTGACAGACATGCCAGCCGAGTCGTTGATCCAAGTCTGGTACCTGCTTGATGAAGGTCGGCACGGAATGATAGGTTTTAAGTGGCCACTCTCAACGACATGTTTGCCAATGGGCGAGAATTTCTAGAATTTCAGAATTGTCGTTAGTATTAAATGTCTACAGTATCAGGTCATGAAACACAGACGGACTCACCAAACCTGAACTACTAGCTGAACCTGATTTTGTGGCTAGTTGTCATGTCAGAGTTCTACTTGCATCTTTCGCCCTCTCCTGTCTTTTCTTGCTGTTGATGGCGCTCAACCGCTGGTAGGATTTGCATGTTGCACGATGCCTCATAAGTCCCCGGCTGTCTGTTGCTCTTTCCCAGGAGCAGCCTGGAGCGTTGCATGATACCATCAAATATACGATGAATAATAGATTGAGAACAAGCCATAGAAGCTTGTTGTGCATTCAACTTCAGCCACTGATGGTGACAGTCTAGTATACGGTCACTAAAGTTAGGTAGCACTTCAAACAAGTCATCATAAAAGTACCGAGGGTAGAACTTATGGGCTGTAGAATTCATAATTAGGTAATGATCTGCCGTGTCTGGAGTTTGGCAAGTGTGGTAGTCGAGGCTTAAGTTACTCACTTTTTCAACTCGCTTGAAGTAGGCTTTCTGAAGACTCGGAAGTTCAAGCTCGGTTACTACTACTCCATGGGACTCAAATTAAATTACCACTTTCCGAACAGTCTGAAATAAAAGATACATGATGCGTTTTAGAGTCAATCATCTAGTAGTACTAGTAGTAAAGGCTATACTTCTGGCGTAGTACAAGAATTAAGACCTGCGACCGAGTGGAGATTGTCTGCCAGATGACAGTGCGTATTTACAATGGTCAACAGGATCATCGTCACAAGAAAGCGTCGATGAACAACTTCTACTTTATCATGATCAGTATTACAACTTGAAAGACCAGTATGTTAAAAATCAACTCACCTCAATCATCGATGTCAAAGTCAGAGGAAGCTGAATCAGCATGAGGTTCCTCTTTGGACTTGGAAAGACACAAAGCAACACCCTCAATCTGATCAAGGGTGGAGTCGGCAACAGAAAACAACCGAAATTCATGACTGTATGCGCCAACGCAGAAGTCCACATCAGCATCGAGCTCCTCCACACTACGTCCAACCAAGACCCTCCGGAAAATGGAAGCTTCTGCGGCGCTAACGGCATATTTTGCAAGTTCCTCTTCGACAAGCATTTCATGAAGTTGCTTGTCTTGGGCCTTCGCCTCAGCTGCCCAAACCAATGCCAGAGCAGACAAACACTTGTATTCGCAATCAACTTCCTTCAGTGATGAGAGCTTGACCGACGATGTTCTTGGGCATGAGTTTCAGGCAACGCGTGAGGATGTCTTTGCCCTGATATTAAATGCTTGTCAATATTTGTAAAATCGTGCGCATTGGATTAACATACCTCTTGGATATCTGCTAGACTTAGGCAGGCGGTCCATTATGGGAGGTATGCGCGGGAATGCGAAGAGCTCATTTTCTGAATCAGGAGAGGTGTCAGTTGGATGATGGTGATCATCGACGTTTGGGGGGTGATTTGAGCCAGGAATGTCCTATTGTAGGACGGCTGCCGTGTTTCTGAATCCTGTCATTGTGGACACGGTAACTCTGTGGTGGTTCAGGTGGAGAGCTAGGTGGAGTCTGGACGAGCAGTCGAGCAGATTGAAGTTCATCACTGCTATCATAGTCATGACCAGACCCTACAACAGAGCTTGGAGGAGTAGTAAGATAGACGGCGTGTGGCACACTACACATGATTGCTTGGGGTTGCTTTGAAGTTGAAGAGCTGGTTCATAAACTAGTTGGTGGAGTTTGAAGAACGGTGAGAAGAGTACACTTACTAAGTCCATTTACTTATTAGTGAACTTTTGGCTCCAAATCATAGCATATATGGTATATCAAGTTGTCAGATCTGTATTAGGAATATCAGCTGGAAGCTGTCTCATCATATGAAGCCTGTGGGAATCCGAAGTCATGGGCCCTTCTGTTTCAAGCTTTGTATACTGCACCACATCTGGGACTGGGTCTCATCTAGGACAAGTTCGACCACTAGCACGGGTCAGGCGGTGCGCCATGACTCGACTCTCATATCAGATTTGGGGTGATCGATTGGGTCCATGTTGATGGGTATGATAACTTTCGATCCATTGAGCCGAGGGATGATGATGAAGTCATGGTGGTGGCGCAACAAGCCAAAGTTGAGTCAAAGTTGAGTTATTTATGACTCCTCATCGTCACAGTGTTTGTAATGTCCAATGAAGTTAGTACGACCATCCGTGATAGTGGCAAAACTGGCGAGCCTCGAAAGACGAGTTCCGGGTCGCCGAAGTCACTGAGTCAAGGCTCTGATGAATTCAAGATCATCATCTGAAGTTGAGTCACAGAAAAAAGTTGCTTACACAGCACAGGTGCTAGGTTCATATCCGAGTCGGTGACTGTGTGCGAATGATCATACTTGGATGGTCATTCTCCACAGAACTTCAGTCCGGGGATTGGCCAGTCTGTATGTCATAAATCTGTACAGACTTGACACAGACTCCGCAGTGCAGGTCTGTTGTAAGTCCGATGTGTCAGAGTCTTTCGGGATTTTCCGGCCAGTGCGCGTCAGCCACATGTCTGCTGAATACGGAGTATGACTTACAGCCAGAAGACAACTGCCTCTGCTGATTATCCTGTGTATTTAGGCGACCTACTACTTTCAGGACTGAAATGCCATCTGCCTTTGCCATAATCTAATGGCCGCCTCTCTTTTCGATGTTGCAAGCTGTCCTCACAATTCAACACGCTCAAAATTTCCATGAAGGTCAACAAAGCTTTTCAGAACATCCACTTGGTGCGATGAGAGGCTGTGATCTACCAGGGGCCGTGTTTTTCTCGCTCCCTCGATCGACAAATGACACCTCTTCAAGTTATGATTGGGAGAGAATTTATACCCCGACACTCCTTGTCGACCTCCCCACCCCAGATTTCAGCATGCCTTATAACATCATATCCTTAGCTGTACGCTCATGACATTGATTTTTGGAAGCATCTTTAATTTGCTGACGCGCAAGTGGATCATGGTGGAGATTCAAGAATAATTGGGGCGAATGATAGTCTTAATGGGTCTTACCAAAAACCTCATATATCTTCCTTACTCCGATTGTCTTCTACCCGAATCCAACCTCCACCACGTCTCCCCCATCACAATCAAGACTTCAAGGGTACCATCTCAAGGTGTGTTGCATTATACACCTCAGAGCATTATTTCTGACGCTCTGGGCAGAGAGAGTTGGTGTTTGGTGTGCTCTGAACTTTGAAGCATGGGATAGGGACCACACCACGCTCACTGAGCATGGATAAAGTTTTGTCTGGTGGATCAGTGCAGCCGTACAGGGGAGCAAAGTCTGTGGGTCCCCATGCTCTTTCCTGCCGAGCTGACGCAGAGTCACTTGTCCCCTGACGCTGATTTGTTTCCTACCACCCACCACTCAGAAGTATTGTCCGTGTTCGAGGGACCGTGTACCGGTACTACTTGCTTAAGATAGTCTCCCAACCATATTTTCTATTTCTTTGTTTTCACGGGGCGTCCAATTTCAGTGGAACATGGCTGCCAATTATGTTATCAATGAACGCAACAACCATTCGGGAGACGCATCCGATGAGGGCATCCACCATCAACAAGTTGTGCTCAAGCTCTCATACCCTCGCATGTGTTTCTGAATCCACATGCTCACCACTCTAACGACTTTCGACATAGACTGACCCTAGCCCCTCATCCATGCTTGACCAATGCTACAGACTGGGCATTAGACATGCAAGCATCAGAGGAGGCACATGTCAGAAGGGAGCATCATTGTTGACCACCTACCGTGGATGTCCAAGTTCATTTTACTCATGGCATTCCTGGCTTCGACAAATGCAACAAGTGAGTAAAGTTTGACCAAACAGTAATCATGTCTCATTTATCTGTGGGAAGGCATTGGAGCACTATGAAGACCTAGCGGACATGCAGGAAATGCCGAGCGTTAACATCCGCCCGTGCACATCATCTTAGGTGCCTATTAGTATCTCAGGGGGGGGGAGGCAGACAGATGCGCTGGAGTGGACTCTACGGTCAAAGATTAAGTCTTTGATAAGCTTAAATCTCGCATTTCATCTTCATTTACTCTTCCAACGATAACATACCCTGGATCACTAAGATGGGGCATATCATATGTCTTGTGGTGCTTTGATTGCTTCCAACAGGTGGAACTTCTGAACCTACTATGCTAAGGCTTCTGTTGAAGATGTTCTGATTTGAATTTCGTGTGCGCAGGGCGAGCAGATTTTCCTAGCAGCCACGGGCCGTGTATTACCATCAAGAAGGTGCGTGGCACAGGACTATTTAATGATGGATGTGACGTTGCCGTTCGTTCAACTAATCTTATCCACCAGTAACGTATAGTTATGATATGTCGGTCCCTTCAGTTCAAATTAAATTTCAAGGAGTCACTGGCAAGACCAGTTGCCACTGATCTACTGCACTCGGCGCAGACTTCAACATCGACTTGGATGCATCCCAACACTACCATGACAGACAACTTGAGTTCTAACCGGGCCTATGGCACTAACCACAGCCCTCACCAGATCATTCCGGATTACAATGACCGATATCAAAACACCTCTCGCTCAACTATCAGGTGGGATCCCAACCAAGTGTCCCAGGCACCAACCCATCCTCAGAATACTCATCGCCCGACCTACGTTGACTCTGTTCCCCACGGAAACTTAAACGATCAGTATGCCAATCAGCGGCATGACACTGATCCCCAGGGTACATCGCATCCTCAGAGCACGTATGTTTCGACCTATGACGACTCAATGCCCCAGAAACCTCAGGATCAGTACATTAATCAGTTGCTTTGCACTGACCCTAGTACGTCATATTCTCAAAACATGCTGCATCGCTTGATATACATTGACCCAGGATTCAATGTGTTGAACTCCCAGGATCAGTACGCTGATCAACCGCCTTATGTTGACCCTGGTACACCACATCTTCAAAGTATGCATGACTTGGTGTATGTTGACTCGGGGGGCCACATGAACCCTCACGACCAGTACACAGATCAACTGTATGACATCGTTCCCCAGGGTCCACCACATCCTCAGAACATGCATCACTCAACATACATCGGCTCTGTGCCCCACACGGACCCTGGCAATCAGTACGCCAATCAGCGGCACGACGCTGATCCTCAGGGCATATTGCACCCTCAGAGCACACATGTTTCAACCTACAATGACTCGAGGCCCCACACGAACCCCCACGATCAGTCTGCCAATCATTCTAACTTCTCTGACAACCATCCTGGCCCTGGACAACTCATATCACTCTCGCAGACAACTCACTACCCGCCTGCCCATGGATTAGATTACTACCACCGTGTTGGTAGCCCCTATTATCACGCTCCCCATCCCGAAATGTCTTATGAACGACCTGACCCGTTAGCTCAGTCATCCGACTGGATGCATAGTGTATTTGATGTGCATAATGCTAGTAACAGAGTCGAGGAAGGACCTTCAGTGGATCTAGAGCCTGCCAGACATCAACATGATTTCAACCGTTTACGCTACCACCGAACTTCGAATTGGCACACTCCGTATACCGTATCTAAGATACGCAACAACCATCTCATCCCTCGCAATGTGGGGCATGGTGAGGGCCCATCTCACAGTGCGGCACAGAGTGTACTGCCTCTTGTGCTAGATACCCAGCCTGTGACCATGCCACCCCCCACACCAACAACACTGTCTCCCGCCATCTCGATTATCTTCGGTCTCGCAGACCTACCTTCGGTCAAGTCTGCGACACTATTCTGAATGAAGTGCACTATCTTCGCCAACTCTTTCTTCCTGGACACAGCCACTGTTGGGACGATGGCAAATGAGTGCATGGATGCCGTAGTATTACATGATGGTAGGCTTTTGAAATTCCCCGTTCAGAACTGTCGCTGATTGACTTGGAGTGTAGACGATCTTATCGCCTGGTCCAAGACATTGGGCGGTAAATCAGAGGTGTCTAAACTCTCCAAAGCCTTTGGGATGATTAAGAAAAACATACAATTCCTCAGTTGTAGTGCGGTTCTTTGGGGATATGGTCTGCACTCCTTATTGATGGAAAAACCGAAGAAGGAAGTAAAAGAGTTTGTCTGTGGGCTCATCGAACACAACAGATTCCTATTTGGCGTCATTGATGCTAGTCGTTGCTTCCCCCTGTTTTTTGCATGAATGCTCATGTTATTTTCTCCAGATTCAAGGCACAAAAGTGGAAGTCACCTTCGGAAATATCACAATTTGCAACTTTGTCCGACAGCTCCTCTTCCATGACAGGAAGTATGTAGATTATATTGGGCAAGACCGGAACATTCAGCATCTGTTGAACTTTGTCGGCGTAGCGTTCAACTGGGTACTAGATGAACTGTCGACCGGCGTGTTCAAGATCCAGGATTTAAAAATGAACGAGAAGACGCTTAATTATTCCGAAGAGCTTGAAAAGCTATTCAACACGATGCCAATAGAGCATCGTAATGCTCTAGTGAGAAGCATCTTTACTCAAGGAGGTGAGCAGCTCACATAGGCGAATGATGCACTACTGATACTACATTAACCCGTAGGGGTCATAATTTGAGGCGGTGGAGTAGGGGTCCCAAGGGCAGGAGCTGCGCACCAAGGGTCCTATTGGCCCTTTCCACAGTAAGTTAGTCAGGCACGTAGACTGGGTTTCACGATGTTCGTAGCTAGCATCCATCATCATCTCAGCTTGTCTGCCTTGCTCTGGGCTTAGGCCACTGGCCCTGCTCCATCATGGTGAACAGAGCGAGCTTTGGCTTGCCCTAGTGCTGCGCTTTGCTTGTCACGTTGTGCTGCTCAGCTCGTTTTTCGGGGATTGTTTTGCTCGGGTTTTGGTTGCAGTTTTGCCTTAGTCCTTTGCCTTAGTCTTCGCTCTTGGCCTTTCTTTGTTTGCCTCGTCGGTCACTTGTCTCTAGCTCTCTGAGTTGCTGTCTTGCTTTCGCATTTAGCACCTCGTTAAAGTTTTTTAACAGCTACGTATCATGCGGGCCATGGAGCTTGCAGCAATGGCACAACGTGCTATAGACGCATGCCCACATCTCTCTGAACGAGATAAAGAGCTGAATCACATTAGTTCTTGGCTTGAACTTGCTCATATTGCCGAAGAAGAAGCAGGCCTGCTTTCCAATAATCTCGTTGCCCACCGGAAAATTTACCTTGAGCAGCAAGACTGGTTGCGGAACCACACAGATTCCTTGCTACCTCGTAAACTTAAATACATGGTTGATAATGTCATATGCCGCAAATTCTGGCAAACACAATCAAAGAAAAAATGTCCTACATCGTCCAAACCAGTCCCACCCACAATCACCATTCCTGCAACTGCGCAGATCCCAAACTCATCCCTTGCACCCGCATCACCCATGCCGCTCAGTACTGGCAGTCAACCCCAATGCCACATCATTTCGAGCATTGAACCCCAGACGAGCATCACTGTAATGATCACGCAAGAACCCAGTGCCATCGAGTACCTTTGCAAAGAAGGAGGCTGCGAAGAGACGATTAGGGGCGAAGAGAAGCAGAAAGAATTGTTAGAGGAAGGGTTTCTTATGATGGAAGCAAGAACTCCACCTCCCTCGTATCCATCACCACCTACACATGTGCATGCTAGCACACAGACAGAGCCTGAAGATACTCGATCCGAGTCCCCACAATGTGCAATGCCTATCAACTGGGCAGACAAAGTTGATAGTACTTTGTTCACATGACGTCCAGTACCACGCGACTTTTCTGCCCTCCTTCCCTCATCTAGTAACCTGTTATGGCTGTGCTTATCTTGCTTCTTTTTCCCTTGATCCACGCTTACTACACATGTCTCTTATCATGCTATATTTAGTTCGGTATTACTCATACGCCTCATTGCTTACGCATGTGCTTACTGATACATACCTATTATTACGTCACACCCTGTACCCTGTATACTATATAAACCCTGGCTAGGTGACGCTGATTCTTCAGCTTAACCTATGCTGGTTTTCCTCTCAACATCTGACTTGATTCTAAGTTACCTCTTCGGTACTTAGTCTTTACTTGAATCTGGACGTTCTTTAGACACTTGTCTAGAACGTATCGACAGACCTTTGGTCTTATTGATTATTGTTTGCCTGCGTTATACTTTGGCGTAACAGTAACCCATGGTCTAGCTTACGAAGACACCAATGCCGCTCACGACAACATGATCATGGCAACCATATTCGTATACATTCATTATCATCCCCTCCACGCACTCATCATTCTAGATATCCTAAATACATTGACTTCATGCCCTTCGATCCACATCCCTCTCCACCTTTGCACTTCACTACATATCAGTTCCGCACACTCCCATTTAATTCTTGTTCCTACATACAACCTTTTGCACCCCATTGACCTTCTCTTGCACGACCCCACATCTCGTGCTGTTTCATTCAGACATGACGAGGGTGTCGCTGTTCAGGCATGCTCGAAGGATATATCTGGACGTCGCGACAGCCCAAGAGTCAAATCAAAATCGCTAAGTCCTTTCTTCTACATACTTCACATCATGCTCATGTTTGAAGACAACAACATCATAGCCTTATGCCTCGAACTACCTCTCAAGTATTCAAAAATGATACATGTCACATTTATGCCAGACATACCCGGCCCCCTGGTATGTTTTTTTTTACTTACTGTCAAAAAATTGGCGTCTCATGCGACTAGAGGATTGAAATCATACCATCCACTTGCACAACTACGAAATCTCCTGACACACCCAAGGAACTGCATGTTCGTTAGCTGTTAGCTGGTTTGCGAGGATAGCGGATTCAACGGTAGCAAGACAAGCATTCATTTTCTGCATCTTGGTGAGCAGCTGCTGCTGGAAGTTGTTATGGTTCATTGATGAGTCGTTTCGGTGCATAGTGCCATGAAATTGGTCCTCCAAAGTCATATCCCCCGCCCTCCCCGCTGTACAAACCCAACGCTGATGGATAGAAACCATGGCGATGATCAGCTGTCATGTCCATGAATGGGTCGTTTGGAACCATCGGGGGTAATGGGACAGGGTGTGGATTCGCGTTTTGTGCTGTATTGACAGGTGTGTCTGCAGGAGTGCCAGCTCCATCTGGACGGTGCTGCATGCCTAGGTGGTGCTGGAACATAACGAGAGGATGTGGACAATGCAGGGTTCACCACGATGGCGGCATGTCGCAGCGACCAGACCCATGTCTGCAGCTGATCTCCAGATAGAGATGGCAGCATCCACCTTTTTGTTACCTGGTTCATGGAGGGCAGCTGTGTAGGAGGATCCGCTGTGTATTTCCTTGTTGCTATCTGTATTCTATCTATATGCGATCCAGACTCTATCTATGTTCTATCCATACCTGAGGACATATACATTTAAGTCCTATCCATACTTCAGCTCGAGTATGGTTTGCTTGACGGTCCTCAAACTAGACACCAAGTATTACGTCTAACTAGAGTACAGTTGGTGTACGAAAATCGCGACATTCCTTACTTTTTTTGAACCTAGGCAGATGAACTCTGCGCTGCTGCGATGACAGCATGTTAGATTTTTGTTACAAAATGTAATACTACTCTAGATCTGTTGACAAGTGCCAAAGGCACCCCCCACAGGAAGGTCTTAAATGATATTTTAGTTCCAAACATGCATGACGAAAAATGAGAGCATCCGAGAGGTGTGAGGGGAGTGCGCTGTCGTCCTATGTTGGTCTTCATTGCCATAGGTCACGATTTTGTTATGAAACCGCACACTATTCTACATTTGTTGATGAGTGCTAAATGCACTTCCCACGAGAATGTCTTGGATGAGGTTATAATGCAAAGCAAAAGTAAGCCAAACAACAATGTTCAAAATGATCGCCACCACTATGCTATCACCCCTCATCGGCTGCAATGCAGGAATGTCATCACATTGTTGCGCACCGCTCATGTTACTCTGAATTTGCAGGCATCAATGGCTATGGATCTACAACTCAAAATTTTAACGGTATAAATGATCATATTTTGTAGGAGCAGAATTATATCCTTCTACAGTTCACATGGCTACAATATCAGGGTCTCATCAATTCACTGATGTCCGGACAGTCGCGGCGAGTCGTGTTTCTGCTTTCACACTTGCCTCATAGACAGACTCTGGTCATAAAATTCTACCCTTCACGTTTCAGTAAGCTATCTCGTTTGATCCCGAGGTTTCTGCCGATGGTAAGTATGTCGCCACAATTTCAACGACATATGCCCATGCTTACAATACATCAAAGATCGCCCGTATCAAAAACTCCATATCCTATCTGAAGCGAATGCAAGAGGAACTTCAGGAATATGCAGAGGACCCGGACGTAGTGCAGGTACTCAAAGAGGATAACGAAATGTTGTCAGTACAGCGTAAGTAGTCCATTGACCTTGCTGCACTTATTAGGATCGGCATTTGGTGCACGCACGTACAGAGCATCACGAGATGAGCGAATATTAACACTCAAGCTGGCACTCTCCCATAGAGGAGCATCGAATGCTACTAGCACTCACGGTGGATTTCCGATGTTCTATGTCATGTTTAATTGTTGTCTTGCATTAGTATCACAAGTTTAAGAATATCATGTCCGTAATCCTGGAGACACTTGGCGTTCCAGAGCAGACCAAGGGCAGTCGCGTGCTCTACATCACCGTATTTCACAAGCTCTGACCCATCACTGAGCTCCAAGACGAAAAGGAGGTTTCAGCTGCACGTACTTGAGGCTTGAGGTTCGTATCTCAAGAATCCCCATGTTTCGGAATGACAATGTGAAGGTCAAACAACGAGTCAGCTGGCAGCAATGGTTGTCACCACCAAGCTAGCGTTATTCAAGTTGGCAGAATGCTTCTGCCAATGACAATTGCCGGCAGTACATAGTTCAGAGGCAGTTGGCAGAAGTCGGCACAGAAGTCACCCTGAATCATAGTTTTACATATTAACGAAAAAAACATAATGTCTCACCTGATGCTGTGGTACTCATGCATGTTCTACTGCTATCCTAGTCCACAATTCATGCATGATGTACATATAGTCATGCTCTATTATTTTACTTGCATGGGTCATGCATGATGACCACACCTTGCATGGCATGCCTTGCATCCTCATACACCACCGCATTTTTTTGACTGTGGGAACTTTGTCACTACATCCAAAACATATCCATTTCTGGTCATCTCCTGGATCTCAACATTTCCCACACTCCTCCCCAGCATATTCCTGCCCACCACCATACCATATCCACCTATCTACTGTAGATAAGTATTAGTATAGGCTATGTACATATAATAGGTCAGAATAGAACACTTTTTTGTCTGTTTTTGTACCAATACAAGCTCCAGAGACCTGTACATATAATACAGGAAAAACATATCAAAAACACATCCGCATTTTTGTCCCTTCAATTATATAATGTATTAGCACACTAATTATATGCTTTTTAGTATATATGAGTCTATTCTACCGCTTATTTGACCCTCTAAAGGTCCCTACACCACTAGATGTAGCATGCACACAAAAAATATCAAATAGCTTCGCATTTTTCCAGTTTAAACTATATAGACTTGAAAATATGACCCCCAGCAACCTTTCAATAGTATATACAATATTCCAGGAGCACAAGATCGCTCATCCACAATTAATGAATAGGGAAGTGAAATATGATGTTTCTTAGGAGAAAAAAACTACAAATGTCATAATTGATGCATATACAGGGTAAAGATTTTCTTAAAAGTCAGTAAATTACATAGTAGAGTACCCAAAGAACCTTCCTACACTCTATTCCATGGGTAGAGGTGGAGTGGAAGGGTTTTATGAATGTAGGTTGTTTGGAGGCCATAGCTGTATGTGTGTGAAGTGTTGGTTTTCGATGTTTTGACTCCTTAGGTTTCCCACAGTCCAATTCTTATCTATATGCTTGCCCTGCTCTAAATTCTAGGTGGATCGTCCTGTAACACTAGAAAAATACTTCCTAGTGCATTTAGAATGGACCACAACAGTCCGATCTCCCTAGATCTCCCTGATGACATGCAAAATTCCTTATCACTCAATATATCTAGTATATCCATGATATCAATGATCCGCCCTATTTCTCACTGATCCTGGCCATGGTTGGCCTTTAACACACCCTATGTATTATATATGAGCCTGCTAGATAATTTACATGATGGTAAATGAGTATAACCATCAAAATGGTTATCTAAAACAACCGAGGCACGAGGTCGAATTAGAATTAGTCTAAGCGCAAACAAGCGATGTGGCGCAGCGCTTTTTGCTCTCGCCCACCATTGCAGTATTTATCGTCCTAAGGATTAAGCACTAGCTATCTGTCTTTTTGCGTTTCTCTCAATCCTTATTATGTTCCTCAACGACCCCAATGAGGCCATAAGACCGGACTATACCAGCGATGAGCATCAACAAGCTCGAGAACAACTAGTCAATGACGGCCTCACTGAAGACCTGGCTATACGCTTGCTAAACTCACTTTAGACTCTGACGAACAATGCCAACAAACAGCATTGGGCTTTAAGACAAGAAAGGCTAGAAATGGTGCATCAACGAGAAGTGTTGGAAGAGGAGCAACGTCAACAGGCGCGTGAAGAGGAAGATGAAGCGGCCAGGCTTGAAGAGCATAAGAAGAACAAGAGCAAATATGCTCCCTTTGCTCAAGGCAAAGTCCCTTCAGAACCTACCATTCTACCTGCACCATATGTGACAAGAAAAATGAAATCGGGAGATTACTGTGAACTTCATTACTTCACCAATCATGGTTTGGATGATGTGAGGAAACTTTCCCAGATCGCTGAACCAGACGCCCTGGTGATGCTTCCATCCAACGATGGAATTCACTCATGGTTTCCAGCAGACACAGTCAAAGACCCAAAGGCGGCGGCAGTCATGAAGGACGAGAATTTGACCTGGGAAGAATTTAATGAAGCGGCGCCGCGCATGATTAATTTCATGAAGATGCACGATTGGCTGAATGAGCGCGTTACCATGCACGTACAATTCTGGTCAGCCTTGCAGACACACTGCTGGCGTCATGCCTCGGATCATCTCAAGCAACAAGCTTTACTTTTATACCAATCCCAGCAGTGGAGACGGTGGCATCTCACCATAGGTTCAGCACAAAGCTGGAGTTTGGAGGAGATCAATCAAGAGTTGCTCATGGAAGCAAGAGAGGAGTTGTTCAATGATCATCGGGACAAGCAGACCATGATAGCCATTCAGGTCAGTCGTTTTTGTCAGCAAAATTGCGCATCCTTTTAGCGCAGCAGGCTCATCAGTTACCTTTGTATTTTCTTGCTTTCATATCCCAACCTTTCCCTTGACTTCATATAATCGCATACATTGTCGCATCAGCCAAACATGTGCCAACAAACTGGGAACCATATCCGAACATCGCGTTCTTCATGGCTGACCTCATACCCCCCCCCCCCCCGGGTTGACCGATCATGCGTCCAACCCCAACCCCCCCAAATGATGGTCATCGCATTTTTCACGCCCCATGATTGCTGTGCAATCAACGCCCACACATGGTCATGTCGTCCACACCACTCACTGTGTTGTGGTACCAATACCTGCCTCGCTACAGCAAGCAGCAGCATCTTTTGTTGCGAACAATGCGGAATCACTGTGCCAGCATCAATCAGGGTCTGTATTGCAAAAGCAGCAGCTGCAATCAATGGAGGAGCCAGTATGGGGTAACAAGAAGGTACGCACCATGCGTGCACCTCTTGCCCCTCTCACCTCTGGCTCACTCCCTTGTTGCACAGTGTGCCTTGGACGCAACCCCCATAGAACAATTGAATGCTCGGCCACACACACGTGGGATAGGCAACATGAAACCTTTGCAGAGCGCATAAGTAAAGGCCTCTGGTCCAAGGAAGGAAAGCAGTTGTGCACAGCATGGCAAAGAGATGAGGGATGCACCATGCCCAAGCACGACTCAAGACATTACTGTTCCGGTTGCAGAGCCACCATGCATGGAGCCTATTAGGTACTGTGCCGGCTCAAGAGGCAGAGGGGTCGGGGCTTGGCTTCAGCTCTTGTGCTGCGCCCTTAGCCGAGTACATGCCCCGAATTTGGAGCGGATCCGACGTTGTCCGACGATAGGACGAGTGGACCACTTAGGTCCGCTTTGAGGGTCGAGAAGTAAGAGCTGCTAGTGGCGGACTGACTAGGAGCGGAGCGGAGAAGGCGGGGAACGATGTGGAGGGTGGGTAGAAACCAGGGGGATATTTGATAGGAGTGGAGATGGCAGGGGATAATGTAGAGGATAGGAAAAGGGGTGATAGGAGGATATTGATAGGGGCGGGGTAATAAGGGAAAGACTCAGAGCACGGCTCTAAGTCGGAGCAGAGGGTCGGAGGGTCGGAGGTGACAACAAGTTGAGACTTGTGTCCAGAGGAGGCAAGGTCCTACTGAGAATTCCCGCAAGAGGTAACTGCAAGAAGACAAGTAATATTAAGACTAAGGGAAAATATCTAAGTACATGATATGTTATATACTTCTATGTATGAGGCAGTGACTAGGATAACTATGTAGTAAAGCTATGTACCAAGGATATCATTTGTAAGTACTTTACATAGGAAAGACATAGGTTGGGGCGGATATCAATATGTACGCGTCGGATCAGTGATCGAGCGGTAATAGGAATTACTGGTGATCCGGAAGTAATGGTCTAAGTACCGAAAAGGAAAGCATATATCTAAAAGGGGAAAGAGGTCCAGTTGAATGGAGATGCTATGGAAGGGGACCGGTTGAGCGGTTGAGCAGAGCAGATACGAATGATGATCGGGCGGAGCAGATGATGAATGGAGCAGATAGGGTTGGAAAGCAGGGCGGTCAGATCTGGTATGTGACAGAGCCCAGAAGTGCCCTTGAGCACAGAAGGCTTCATCCATTGACGCCATATAAGGCGGCGGCATGGGAACAAGAATTACGCAGAGCAGGAATCCTTGATTGTTTCATCAAGATACCAAACGGCCTACGTGCAGGTTTCAATATAGATTTTCCAGCTATCAAATCTGTACAGAGCCCTCCGAATAAAGTTTCAATTAGCGATTACACGGCTGAATTTGATAGTATCATTCAAAGTGAACTCAAAAAGTGGAGGTATATTGGTCCCTTCTCAGCTGGAGACTTAGAAAGATTAATTGGACCATTCCAATCATCCCCCTTATCCATAATTCCTAAGCTGGGAAAGCCAAACAAATTTAGAGTCATTCAAAATTTCTCTTTCCCGCACACAATTAACATTCCATTTCCCAATCCCTCAGTAAATTCATGCATCAATCCAGACGAGTTCCCAACAACATGGGGTAAGTTCTCGATAATCTACCTATTGATATCGAAACTGCCACCTAGGGCTCAGAGGCGGCAACCAGAGACGTCTCAGAGGCTTATCAGACGATCCCTCTGCACCACTCACAATGGCCCACAGGCGTGGTCAGGATCTCTGACACGCAATTCTGCATTGATTCTTGCATGGCATTTGGAGCTGCACCCCATCAGCAGGCGTCTACGGGCATGTAGCCTGACGCGGGCGTGGAAATTTTCCGGAGCCATGGCATCGGACCCATTGACTAATGGGTCGATGACCATATATTCTTCCGGGTTCGGAAAGAACACCTCGCCGAATTCAATCAGGTGAGACTCACCTGGCATCGAACCTTCGCGCACTGAAGGAATCCATCAGACAGGCAGGAGGTTGTGGTTTGGAAGAGACTGCAAAGAGAGTGGGCAACTCGAAGAGTTCAGTGAGGACTGTGCCTGACCTCTAACCAATCTATCGGACGCTTCGCCTCGTTCAGATCACGACAAATTGTTTGCCTTCTGCATGCAAGACATGGATGACGTATTGGATGATTTGGGGATCCTGTGGGAACTTCTCAATGATCAGCCCTTCCGATGATCTACAATCTACATCGGTTTTCTCTGGAACCTAGAATTAAGGTTTGTCGCTCTAAGCTCAACAAAGGTGAGCAAATACCTTGCAGCAATTCACAGATGGCGAAAGCGCCCATCACACATGTTACACGACATGCAAGAGTTGTATGGAAAACTGCTGCATGCATGCACTGCAGTCCCACGAGGCTGGGCCTATTTAATGGGGCTAGAAGGGATGCTGTCAGTGTGCAGATCGCGTCCTTTCCTCCCCCACAGAGCAGAGAAGTCCATAGCTAATGATTTAGAGTGGTGGTCAGCACTCCTACAATCTGGAGGGGTATCGAGACACATCTACCCAGCGGAAAAACTCTCAGACTTGCGCACATTTTCTGATGCAAGTTCAGGGATTGGGATCGTCATCGTCATTGGGAATCAATGGCGTGCATGGCAACTTATTTCAGGATGGAAAACACTTAACGGTAAACGAGACATCGGATGGGCGGAAGCAGTGGGGTTCGAACTACTCGTATACTCACTCACTGCTATCACTGGTGTTAGCTGCCAACTCCTTGCCCATGGAGACAACACAGGCATCATGGAGGGCTGGTGGAAGAAACGGCATCGTAACCCAGAGGTCAATGGGGTATTCAGACAAATCCACCAGTTCATTCACAACTTACCCCACCTGTGTCAAAATCACTACCACTTACGTGGCCAGCACTCACAACCCTGCAGACGGACCTTCCAGAGGCATTCTCGGCCCAATCGAGCTTCTTCTTCCCCCATCCGCATTCCAGACAACATTGACCCCTTCATCATCAACACCACCCTACCTCTCTCCCCCGCTGAAATATGACACTTACGTGAGGGCAACTATTCAGCCCCAGCTGCCAAACTCCTTAACTCTGCACTCATTCTCCAACAAGCCACTGATAGAGCAAGCGCAGAGTGAGTTGAGGAAGAACGGTACATCGAACTATGCCCTCCGGGATGAGTGACACCGCGTGGAAAACTCAGTTTCAGCTCTCAACTAGCACCAGTTCCCAACAACCCAGTTCCCATCCCCCAGCCTTATCGCACTGAACTCACCCCTCATCCCTCTCCTCTTCACCCTCACTGTCTGGCCAGAGACCGACTGCACCTGTGGACCCCAGCAGGTAGTAGCCCCAGACAAGCAGGCGCGAACCCAGATTCGCAAGAGCACTCAGTGTCGGACGCAGCGCTAAATCGCATCCTAGAAGTAATGGGTTCAGTCGTGGGCCTGTTCTTCGAAGGAGTGTTATGGTGCCAGTCTATTAGTTTTTCACTGTATATTGTGATATGCAGGGTATCACTGAGGATAAATGTTGTCCCATTGCACCAAACCTTGTGCTTGAATTCCTTTCGAGTTGCGCGGGTTCTTACTCTGGTTCATCGCTGTCTAATTACTGTGGCAGCGTTAAAGGCGTGGCATTTGCTGCATGGTAGAACATGGAGGATCAACGTGCATGAACTCAGATCCATCCTAGATGGTGCAGCATCGTTCGCCCCAGCATCCTCCAAGCGTCCAAAAAGACCGCCGACAACCACAATTTTCATGGCTACCATCCGCGACTACCTCGACCTCAATGCTCCATTAGACATGGTGGTGTTCACCTGTATGACTACAACCTTTTACTGCATAGCCAGACTCGGCGAGTTCACTGTGAGCTGCAATCAAAGACTTCGACCCAACTAGACACGTCTCTAGAGCGGGAGTATCAGAAACTCAGGATCGAAACAGGCTTACTGGTCACTAAATTCTGCTTACCTTTCACAAAATCAGCGAAAAGCAAAGGGGAAGAAACTTTCTGGGCCAGGCAAGATGGTCCCACAGACCTCAAGGAAGCACTGGCGAACCATTTCCGTGTTAACCCTGCGGATCACAGCGCCCACTTGTTCATGTGGAAGCACGCTAAAGGGCTTAAGCCGCTTTCGAAGAAAGAGTTTTCCAAACAGATGGCAATCGCCACTGCTGCAGCAGGATTACTGGATCTAAAAGGGCATAGTCTTCACATAGGGGGAACTCTAGAATACTTGCTGAGGGGAATCCCATTTGACGTCAGTCAAATCAATGGGGCATTGTTCAAGTGAAACTTTCACAATATATCTATGGGATCACGCATCTATATTGGTGCCGTACATCCAAGCATCACCAATTCTCAAACCCTTCATGTGGTATATCATGCCACCTGGTTCGTTAGAATTAGCATGGTGAGTACACCTCCTACTGTATGGGAATCAAGCTGCGCTGCATGCGTCACTGCACTCCTAATACTTGGGCATACAGCTCACCTTGATTCTTAGGTTCGGTTCTTTGTTTCGGGTCGGAACAGCCCTGCAGGCTGACGCCCAGAATCTCATCAAAATCTCATCACAAAAACCCTCAGATTATTTTGCCGTACTACTTGTTCATCATCCTACAAATTCATCCATTCCCCTTAGTCTTACTAACTTCATACTCTCTGTTTGTTTTCCCCTGCTAAACAAATTTGGAACACCTTTTTGCACAGGTCACTTCACTGTGCAGCGCATAGATTGCAAAAATATACACCCATGCAAGCAGGAGGAAGTATTGGTATACAAAAGAGGATTCTGCTACTGTTGGCATATTTTGATGATACATATATGCTCTATATACACCTAAAAATATAGTCCCTACATTCCTGGAAGGCCGGAGCCCCAGGGAAAATTTTCTCAGGAGATGAACCATCAGGGGAGGATAGCAATACAGCACACCAGGGACTGGACCTGTGATCCTATTATCATCATATCTTGTATATGCTATTGAAAGGTTGCTGGGGGTCATGTTTTCAAGTCTATATAGTTTAATCTGAAAAAATGCGAAGCTATTTGATATTTTTTGTGTGCATGCTACATCTAGTGGTGTAGGAACCTTTAGAGGGTCAAATAAGCAGTAGAATTGTTAAGGTCGTGCTCAAGGGAGAGGTTACTCAAAGGGCTTCAGCTTCAGCTCGTGCACTGCGCCCCTTACCCGAGTACGTGCCCTTAATTTCTGGGGGACAGAGGGGAAGTCAGACAGAAGTCTGGGGAATTCCTGGAGGACAGAAGTCGGTGGAGTTCGGCGGAACTCTGGAAGACTTATGTGGGGACGGAATAAGGCTACTACAGAATTCCGGAGTAGAAACAGAACAGAGGTTAGACTACCCTAAGGTGGAGCCAGAGAAGTAGTCCTAAGGTTTAACCCCTAAGACTCGGAGGTGGACAAGAGGTGAGACTCAAGTCTGGAGATTGCAGGAATGAGCAGAACTAAGATGATATTTGAACTAAGGAGTTCCGGAGTATTACAGGGGTTTATATACTATAGGTATCATGTAAGTAAATCAGTCAGCAAAGGTAAGAGTCATGTACAAAGCATGTGGAAAGTCTATTACTAAGTATAATGGATCAAGGCAGTGAAGTCGGAAATGAAGTAAGAATGGACGGATCAGTAAGCATAGCGGAATAGGACATAACCGGTAACTGGAGCAATAGCTAATCTAAAAGGAGTTAGGGGTGAGTGCGGAGATGAAGGCAGAGCACTGGGCGGAATAGTAAGACAGAGGACCGGACTTCAATGAAGTAGATCCGGAATTCCGGATCCAGAGGTATGGGATATGACAAGAATAGACTAAAAAGCATATAATTAGTGTGCTAATACATTATATAATTGAAGGGACAAAAATGCGGATGTGTTTTTGATATGTTTTTCCTGTATTATATGTACAGGTCTCTGGAGCTTGTATTGGTACAAAAACAGACAAAAAAGTGTTCTATTCTGACCTATTATATGTACATAGCCTATACTAATACTTATCTACAGTAGATAGGTGGATATGGTATGGTGGTGGGCAGGAATATGCTGGGGAGGAGTGTGGGAAATGTTGAGATCCAGGAGATGACCAGAAATGGATATGTTTTGGATGTAGTGACAAAGTTCCCACAGTCAAAAAAATGCGGTGGTGCATATATATGGCATCTAACCCTGTCAGATTAGGTTTAGGAAGTGCTGAGAAACTACTTCAGATTTGCACTTCATGCCATGCATGGTAGCATGCATGTTCTATCTGTGATCATACTGAGGCTCACTACAGTAAAAACATGCATGGCTACATTACTACAACCCTAGTTATATCATACATGAATAGGACAGTATAGCCTGAATGTCTGATCATCACCTAAAGTTTATGTAAACCTCGTCAGATCTCATTAGCGTAGCTTTTATACATTCTCCTCATCGCCCCCCGACAAATTGCCAGTAGATCTTGCTTCACAGCCTGAGGGTAATGGTCGGACCGTGTGTATAAAGCAAGTGCTCGAGATCTTGATTAGGTGATAATCTACCGGCATTGCAGATATGCATCTGTAGATAGGTTCTTCCTGCATTGCCATGAAGAACAATGTTCAGCACATAAAAGAAAGCCGTCTTCCTACTGTTCCCTTCAGATTTATATCAGATCCTCGCAAATAATGCGCTTCTCCTTTGTCCTCGCCGCTGTTGCTGCCTTGATAGTATCAATATCTGCCAGTGACGCTGACAGTGAGAATTGTCCTTGCTATTGCAGGAATGATAGAGACTGCCAAATCTGCATTAACCAGTATGGATGCGTGAGTATGAATAGCTTGCGTCCTGGATTTAAACACATGACTCATCAGCGTGGTAGTTCATTCGAATCTCTATACGCGACACCTTATAGGCGGCTAGCGTGGTGAGTCGTGTTTCTGCTTTTGCATCGGTGCAGTACTTATGGTTTATTGCGTCAGTTACTGGTAGCTTGCTGCTGAGTTGATCAGGGCGTTCGCTTCTGACCAAGTTTTACTGCTGCTAGAGCAATAAAGATCTTGGAATAGAAGAATTACGCTTGAACGCATTGCAGCATAGAATATGACCGAAGTACTTACGACGCAGTTTTGTAGTCTCGTGCCAAAGCTTGAACATAGACTGAGCCCTCGATCATCGGTGAGTCGTGACACCATGACTCCTCCCGTCATAGGCGCTATTTACTGGTCGTCATGCCAATGGATGCATTTCTAGTCTGGACTGAGCCGCTGGGGTTTATCACGACGCCATTAGATGGTGGTATAAGTATATGGAAATAATTGTCGTTGTCGAATTGTGAAAGCTCAAGCTTCAAGATCCAGAAACGGCACTTATGGGAGTGCTTGGTAGGGATGCGAGTTATAGGGGAGGACTCAGATCTACTAGTTTCGATGTCCTCGAGAGCATCCAGGGACAGAAGTGGACACATAGCTGAGACTTATTCTGCTTTGCATCCTGGATTTATTACTCAAGTACTAGTACTCACCCCTCAGTGCGCGTTGTAATAATGACAGCCTGCTAGAACCGATAAGTATCACAGCATCATAGGTACAAGCAAGCACGTATCTTCTTGTAAACGATACTTTGTACATGGTACTCCTCATTTTCAACGAACCCTAATATCGATACTTGCTAGATCGCTAGCACAGCTGGGCGGTGGACCTGGACCTTTCAAAACACTCTCCTTGGTCATGTCACCGAAAGTCCTTATTTCGCCCTCCGTCTGACCTCCATTTGTCACCTCCGGGATCGTGCTGAAGTCACCCCCGTTGGCTCGCAGCGCAGCTAACATACACACTCGGCAATCCCACTGTGCATCGTTCTGCACGAGCGACATTTGCGCAAGGATATCGTGTATGCGTTCTGCTTGCGTGACCAAAGGTTCGTGTGCGGGCAGCTTTGAAATGAGCACCCTTCCTATGACCGTACCTTCTCGGAGATCATTTACGGCTTTGTGTTCATAGCGCCATTCTGGCATGCCGTTGAGATCGAATTTGACACTTGATCGGATGGTGTTGATGGTGTTGTAAATGTGGCAGTCATGGATGGAGGCGTTACGCATTTCTCCCTTGGGTGAGAGCATGAGAACGAAGTGGAAACCTGACTTTGCATTGTGATGGTAGAGGGCGATGTATAGACGGTGTTTCTTGCGAGGTATTGATTGGTCTATGGGGAGGGGTATTATGGTGGATCAGTGTAGTTCAAGTGCTTCCTTACATGTGTGCAGATATGTGTCTAGTGGTCGCACTGGTAGCTTGAAGCAGGCGTTTGGAATCAGAATTGACTGGTAACCTGAATCCTGATACATATTTCTGTTTGACTCATCCCTTCGACTCGTCGGAACGAGTTAAAGAAAAGGGTCAAACAACGAGTCGTCAACTACACAGTTGATGCTCGTCGGCCAGCAACGGATGGTGTTGGATTATCAACTCGTCTTGTTTTCCTTTCCTATGTTACTCTTTCATTACCTAATGGTTATCTAATCTTAGTTTATAATCTCGAGTCACTCGCTCGTTCGTACCTCAGCTGTTGTCTCACAACACTGAGGTATGTGTAACGTTGTTCTATCTCGCCGTCTCTTTCTTATATCGTTTCTTTCATAGCGTGTTCACTTTTAGGTATTATGAATCTTATAGCTGTTGTCTCACAACACTGAGTGTGTTCACTTTTAGCTGCCGGGTCAACGGGGCGAAGTCAAACACTTATACCGTCATGATCTGGAGTCCTTCATTTGGGTTTGCTTGCGTTACGGGAAGGGAGTCCTCCTACCACCGGAAACTCGCCCTCTCGATGCATGAACAACTGTAGGCGCCGTGGTATGTGGCAAGGAGAAGTACTATTTTTTGGGTTACTTTTTGAAGATCTAACCCCCCGACATGGACCCACATATATGGGGTTTCGTTGCGGACTTTCCAGGGGTGCTGAAAAGATGCCGAACGTCGATTCGATCTCATTGTTCAACAGGAATCGATGTCGCGAGCACGTGGGGAGACAGACGCCGAAATCAGCATCGGATATCGATGGCGAGCAGCCACACAAAGGAACCAGAATTAAATATCGATGATTTTCTACGCAAGTTTACACGTACGAATATAGCTGGATTCGCCTCGGCAGGCGTTTACTGTAGTGTTCTTTACTTATTTAGACTGGGACACAGTCAACGAAAATGTGGGATAGGACTTCAGTTGGCAAGCGCCAGAGAGCCGATATGAGTCCCCTGTGCACATTCATGGACTGGGTGATCCTGTCCTTTTTGACGAGTTGCTGATGAAGATTCTTTAGTTATTCATCACGGTTTCCAGGCCTGGGATCTCGTGCAAAACCTCGTACAACTGCTGCTGGCGCTCGGTGATGATGGCGCTAATGAGGCTTTGGACTTTGGGAATGGTAGACTGATCGGTATTGGGGAACCTGGAGTATGGGGTTTCAAGATCTGGAATCTGATCATCATCAATAAAATAGCATCTGATATATATATGGGGAGGGATATATGGTCACTTGTGAACGTGCGAGCTGAAGCGAATGAACATTAATATTATCATTTATATGCAGACGTGAGTGCCTATAAAACTTACGATGTTTTGCAGCGCACCCAATGATGTCCGAGACCGAGGAGAAGCCTGCTTTTGAATTTGCTGTCATCCCATCGATTGCCTGCATGTTAACGTTGTAAATTTGGAGAACAACGTCGAGTTCGAAGAAAATGAATACAAAGGCGCTGTCGATATCCGTTACTCCCACGGTAGTGTTGATTGCTGCAGGACCAATTCTGCTTGCTCCTCATATACATATGTCACCTTCACTCCAGTACCCGAAATTAGGGTCTCTAAACGCTGAGCAACGATGATGGGGAAGTGAAAATGCTGGAGTTTGTGGAACAGAATGAGGTAAGACCATAGTGGCAGGCGGGTTTGTAGGCTGAAACTTCCAGTGCGAATGTAAAGGCGTGGCTCGCCTTGCTGCTGAGATGCCCTACATTAGGCCAAAACAGTTGAGCCAAAATGCATGACAATCTCCGCAGACTCAAGAAGAACTGAAGGTCATGACGATGGAGTCGTGGGGGCATGAATGAATCTCCGGTTCCTGGGCGGCCTTGGCTTCACGTTTCTCGTCAGATATATGCACGCTCATCGTACGGTGTGACTTCCCAAACAACACTCTCCGTAATCTGACGAAGCTCAGCACGGGCGCCTCAAAGATGCCACAAATCCTGCGCGACATTTGACTTTTGGTCTTTCGCAGAAGGTTCATGGTCAACAAGAGACGATTCTATGTTCTAATAAGGGATTGGGATAATGCAATCGGCCAAGGCAAGACGCGACTGAGTATTTGGTAATTCTCGTAACAGATAGTGGTCTAAGTACTGGCATACACCACTTCACCCTGTCTGCACACGAACATTGTTCCTCCTGATGGGTGTCTCCTCTCCTCTCCCCCACCTCTTGACATCACGTTCAGCAATTCTTCGGCTCTGCCGTAAGCGGACAAGCCTGAGCTCCACCGACAATCTGGCGGCTCGACTGATGCCATCACAAGCATGTCAATCGAGAACAGTGAGCTACACAATATTCAGAAAGCACTTACAGTAAGATACCGACAGGATACTGGTCCGTAACTGCCGGCCTATCAGTTACTTTGTTCAATGAATATGTGTGGGCGACGTACGTGCACACTGTGACCGTGCCTGGGCTGGTCTTGGTTAATTTCCTGGTAGTACCGTTGTCCCACACTGTGGCTGGGCACTGTACACACTTGGCGGCATTGACGCCAACGAGGAAGCTGAGCAGCGCAAAGATGATTGAACGGGAAGTAAACATGATGAAGTTTGTGCAAGTGAATGAGGCAAAAATATCGTAGCAGGCAGGTGTTTTATAGGCTGAAACTTCCAGTGTCAACGTAAAGGCGTAGTATATCACATGTACTGTCGACATCGGACATTGCCCCAAGACAACAATAAACTGGATTTTAAAAAAACGTAAAGGAATGGCTCACTTTGCTGCTGAGATGCCTTACTTTAAGCCAAAACAGTTGTGCCAAAATGCATGATAATCTCCGCAGATTCGAGAAGAACTGTGAGCGTCATGAAAAGTTGATGCGGCGAGTACTCAAAGGGGCATGTGTGGCACGATGGGGTCGTGGGGCACGAATGAATCTCCGGTTCCTCGGCGGCCTTGGCTTTGCGTTGCTCGTCAGATATGTGCACGTTCATCGGACGTTGTGACTCCTCAAACAACACTCACCGTAATATGACCATCCTTGAATCGAAGTATGAGATAAAACGCGCCTTGGAAAGTGGAAATTCTTCCGTTGCAGAACTAGTAGTTGTTTGGGACGCGAAAGGCGAGACCTTTCAACTGCAACGTGCATCTGATGGACACGCACCTTGGGGGTCGGAGGGAAGTCTGGAGTGATAACACCGTGAGCTACATGGACCCCAATTTCGTGAGACATATGCAACGACGTACGCGAGAAGTGACTGTTCGCGATGCACTGGAGTAGCAGCTCTACATGAGACACGGCCCATCATGCATGTATCCTGCAGGGAATATATAGCGATCGCGACATTCGACGGGCCTTCATCACTAACAGCCAGATTCGGGGTAACTGCCTGCACTGCATACCAATTTGAGGCGAAGTGTCACATTTAAAAGTGGTGAATATACAAGTTGGAGCCACGGGCAGAGGCGCAGGGAGGGTTGTATTGTCGAGGAAGGCGCGGATGACAACAGGAAACATTGTTGCTGCAGCATTAATGGAAATGAACAACAATGATATTGATGATGTCGTGTTCCACTGAAAGTGCAATGCTGATGAGTCGATGATGATGCAATGAAAAATGTATGTGACAACGAGATGAAGGATATGAAGTGAAGATTGTTCAATAAACGTTGCATTGCACTGGTACCCGCAGCCGTAGCCCGAGCGAAAACTCTTCGAAGGTTGGGATAGTTCAAGATGATTTCCGGAGACGGGCTGGCATGGGAAGTTGTCATCGGAGACGTTTTGTGTTTCGTACACTTTGCAACAACTTTGCAATGCACGGAAGAGAGATTATAGTACAGTACAATATCTCATAATGCATAACGTCGGGACCCCCAAATCCTTATTTTTATTTTTTTAGAGCCCGTTCAGCAACCGACATTTGAACAAAATTTTACCAACTCGAAAATTGTCAGTGGCACGAGTGTGACTGAGATGTAAGCTGAGTTTGAAAGCCCTCGGTAAGATTGACCGTCATCGATAACATACTAGCCATGGATCCAGTATTCAGGCAGCCATTGACTAACCCTCTTATCCAACAGAGACCTCTCATAGCCCAGCTGACTCGACCACTAGCAGTACAGACTCACCCCAACCAGACTTGTTTACCACAAGCTGCAGTTTGCCAGTGTATGCTTCGTTACATTGCCCTCCTCCTCAATATTCTACTTGCTGCCACAGCACATATCCTCCTACAGCAAGTCCAGGATGATCCTGAACCCTACCACACATCTGCCCTCACAGGGCAAGAGTGGGTGATGGAGTTGATTGTCAGCCACACGGAGCGCATCTGCTGTGAGCTTGGTGTCACTGCTCACGTCTTTGAGAGCTTGGTGTGTGACCTTCGAAACTTTGGTCACACAGATTCACGCTATGTATCACTCGAGGAGCAGTTGGTGATTTTCTGTACACTTGTGTGACAGGTTTGACGGTCAGACATGTTGCAGAACGATTCCAGCATTCAAATGCTACTATTTCCAAGTTTGTGATTTGATCTATGTTTCACACCTGACACTAACTCCCTTGTAGGTATTTCCGCAAGATCTTAGAGATTTTCACATCCCACCCATTCTATACAATGCATGTACACCTTCCTGCTGACAATGCCCTGTCTCCAGTGCTATTTGTGACAACCCCAAATGATGGCCATACTTCCGGGATGCTATCGGAGCGATCAACAGCAGTCACATCCATGTGTTCCCTCCCACTGCCACCCGCTACCTCTACTACAATCAAAAATGTTTCGTCTCTCAAAATTGCCTCTTCATTTGCGATTTCGACCTCAATTTCACCTTTGCACTCACTGGATGGGAGGGATCCGCAACCGATGGTGGGCTCTGGGATGTAGCTCGCAATGACGGGCTGAATCTTCCAGCAGGAAAATATCTTCTTGCAGACCTGGGGTTCCCCTCATGCCAACAACTTTTGGTCCCTTACCATAGCATTCGGTACCATCTGGCTGAAAGGGGTCATGCCAGTGTCAGGTATGTCATAGGCTCTTTTTTTGTTATTCGGCTCATCAAACACTGCTTCCAGACCCACCAGCAAGGGAGAATTGTTTAATCTTTGGCACACATCCGCTCGCAACATTATTGAACATATTTTCAGTGTTCTGAAGTGGCACTTTCGCATTCTTTTAGTATCCCTGGAGTACAAGATAGGGATTCAGGTGTGCATACCCACTGCACTATGCGCTCTTCATAATTACATATGCACTCATGACCCATATGAAGAGCCTCCACCTCAGAGAGCCATCTTCAATGACAACCCCACCCATCAAGGACGACCTGGTGAAGCACGCAATGACCCACCCGAACCTGCAACCATCCGCGATGATGCTAACATATTTTATGATTGCATGGCGACTGAGATGTGGGAAGATTACCAGAAAATTTTGCAGGAGTGTGATCTGATTGATGTAGCTCACTCATTGGATATTGATGAAGACTTGGAGAACAAGGAGAACAAGGAGGACATAGACGAGTACTATGGGAGTGAGGATGATGGCAATGATGCATAAATTCAGAATGTATAGTGTACATAGGACTACAACATGAAGATGTGCTGCATATCAATGAATGGAGGCTATGTAACATGATTTGTAAGATGTGATATGAAAAAAGATGAAGCAACAAGATGGCAATATGATTTTGATGAGCGAGAAGATGATTAGAATGCACCATACTCCCCCCTGTGAGCCTGCCGGATAACAGATTCTAAAAAGGGTAGACAATTCTCGGGCCTGTTGAGCAAGTAGGTGGAGCATACAACTGGGCTCCTCATGAACACGTTCATGAGGGTGATCTTGTCATCTCCCAACACACCATCTACATCTTGCATCATGGACATGGCACTCAATCTTTCATCCGCTGCCCGAGTTTCATCAGTACTGACCATTGATGCTGTGAGACTATCTGTCAGGCGGTTGATGCAGCCTTGAAGGTTCATAAACGCAGCGGTGCTGGCAGCATCCTTGGTGGCCTTTTTGCCAGAGCCACTAGTGATGCGCAACATGCCAGTGTTGTTGCTGCTGCTGCCACCAAGTGCTGATAATCTAGGTTTTTTATCAGTGCTGCTAGTGGGAGACTCTGGAACAGAGGTTCTGGGGGTGGTGGCGGAAAGGATAATATCAGAGTGTGAGCATTTTCCTGTGCTACAAGCTGCCACTGAAGATGGGGGAGGGGGGAACATAGAACCTCCAGCCACAGGCCAGGGCTTGGAAGTGTAGACATGATATGGCCCCATCCAAAGCCATCCAAGGCCTCTGCATTAGTGGCATCAACATCAGGTATGTTGCTAACACCACCGGTGGTGGCAGCATCAGCCATGCTCGTATCAAGACCCAGAGCATCACTGCTTGCTTCTGGGTCAGCACTAGTAGCAGCAGTGGCCGCTGATGCTTGTGCAGCGAGTGAAGCTGGGTTATAGGCGGCCACCCCAACAGCGCTACTGCTGTGTGGCAGAATCTGCAACATCTTGGACCAAAATGGCCATCCGCTGTTTTTAAAAGGTTTCATAACCTCAAGACAAAATGTAAGCAGCAGACTGGAGGCTAAATGTATTTACATACCTTGTTGCCGCTGCTGGCATTGAGAAATTGCTCCCACGTGAGCTCTGCCAATGGCCCCTGAATATTGGTCCCATTAATATTGTCCCAATGACATCCTGATCAACTGTTCTGATATCTGTCTATCACGCTGTGGATCTGTTTCAACTATAGGGGCAGTTGATGTTAGCAATGATCTGAGTGGGACAGATGTAACTCACAGTTGACCATTTCGTCTTACACTGTGTCATGGTCTTGGCTTGGGCCTGAATCCCTGCTTCTTCAACCTTCTCTGTTATCTTCTTTGCAGCCTTGGTAAATGTCTCATCTTTAAATGTTGTCCCTGCGATCTTGGGTACCTGCGTGATTAGATAGCCTCAACCTCCAGGGTGGTCTAGTGGGCTTTTGGTACAGATGGTTTGTTTTCATTCTTTCTGGTCATAGACAGAAGTTGAAACTGGGTACAGACAATGAGAACAGCTACAGTTGCAAAGATGCACTTTCGCTGCAGAGGATTGTATTGATGGCTAATAGTAGTAGGAATCGTCATCATAGTTGGAGGGCAAGTGACTTCAAACTCCAACATGTTGGCTTTTGTGCCACTCATGCACAATTTGTTTGGTTGGCTAAATTTTGTTCAAATGTCAGTTGCTAAATGGGCTCTAAGTTATGCATTATGAGAATTATGCGTTAGGACATATGTCACAAGGTGTGAGATAGTGTGACTGCGCTCAAAGATGTGACACATTTGTGACTCATACAGTACATATGTATCTAACAAAAATAAGAGTCTATCATGGTTTGTGTTCTGTGAAGAAGCTCATTGCGTCGTAACTGAGCATGAAAAAGACAGATTTGCTTTAACAACTCAAGTGGAAATGGGGACTCAGCATTTCCAACCTGGAGACAGGCTCCTTCGAGCCGTTGACACAGTACCAGTGTTTCTGCACAAGAAACCTCTGGTTCAGGGTCCTCTTCTTCATCAGAGACCTCAATCACCTCACCCGCTTTCTCTGCCATCTCTTGTTTTACTGCAGCAACAATAACCTTATCTCCGCCTTCAAATTCAAGGGAATCTCCAAATTCTTGTTCTTTGGCTGGCTCAAGAAACTCGCCTAAAGATGGTGGCTCACCAAAAATGCGATTACAAGCCCTCAAATCTTGCAGAGAGGTGCCGACTTCATTCTCAATGGCTGTGAGTTGGGTGAGAGGGGGTTGGCGTGTGGGAATTCGAATTTTTAGACCAGTCCATTGGCAAGCAGCTTGTGCGAGCTGCTCGACTGTGCTTGCAGCTGCATCTGAGTCCCCTTCTGCATCCATCACGGCCTTGAAAGCAGGCCTCCAATTGGTGTCAGCATAACGAGTACCAAGGATTTTTTCCATGTGCTTCTCTACTTCTGGCAATGACATCTCGGTTGTCGCAAAATCTCGAATAACATGCCACGCATCTGGGTCTGCATGCAGCAAAGGATTTGATGGTGCTTGGCTTGGAGTGGATGGGTTCCTGGTATGTAGAATGAGTTTGATAATACAAATAAAAATAAGATGACTGATGGCTGGATCTGGGTGTGATTCCAGCAATGCTTGATTGTTGTTGATGAGATGCTGTTCTATGTGGCACGAGCCATCATCATCCTTTCAAGGAGATTGTTCTTGTAGATGTCTTGTTTGCCTGCTTCATCAAGATCAATTGTATGTGTACAGAAATTGTGGTGGTACAGTGTGTTAAGACCATGCTCAGGGGTAAGACGGAGTCTGGGGGGCTTGGCTTCAGCTCATACGCTGCGCCCCTTACCCAAGTACATGCCCCTAATTTTGGATTGTAGTCCGACTCGAGTTCTATGAGCTCCAACAGGACGTTGGAGTGGAGGTCCTCTGAAGGAGGACAGACGGACTACTAGATAAGTGCAGGAACATCGGGTGGAGATTGGTCCGCCCTGCAGGGAAGAGTTGGAGGGCTACTGCAGTCGGAGCTAACAGTAGGAACAGAGTGGGGAAGACTGCTTGGACGAAGTCCGAAGCAGAATGGAAACATGGAGGATAGAGGTATAAGAGGATTGGCCACAAGTCCGACATGCGGGAAAGGCGGTGGAGGCGCGGGAAGTCGGATGAGCAGAGAAGGCAGCCGACCTAGGGAGTCAATCCCCTAGGCCAGCAAACAGGAGTTGTCAAGGGTTTTTGCCCAAGAGCAAGGACAAGAGAGCAGGGCTTAGAAAAGCAGACTGAGTATCTACAGACAAATGTGCATATGTTTATATACTCTAAGTAAGTAGTATAGCATAGCAGAAGGCTATGTACTGAGTGTACAGGATTACAAGAGGGATGACTGAGACATAAGAGAAAGAGGCTCGGAGAATAGTATGTACATGACGGATCAATAATCACTCGGGTATGGGATTACTGGTGATCTGAAAGGAGGAACTGTGATACTAAACAGAGATAGGACCAGTTGAATGGTTCCTAGTCTAGGAGTGGACTGGTGAGGCAGTTGGGCAGACTAATAGTCAGGCGGGGCAATACAAGTGGAATTGAAGGAACCGAGCAGGTCAGAAAAGTGGAGGGAGTAGGATCAGGCAGACCAATAGGGCAGAGGAGCAGAACTCCAGATAGGGTCGGATGGAAAGGGTATGGTGTCGGAGGGAATAGGGGTAGCATCAGAGGAGCGGAGCGGAGTCAGGTGGAGGTAGCAGGGCTAGTCCTGCTGAGATGCACTTCGTGCATTGTCGGGGAAGGAGGAATGAAGCGGATAGGGAAACAGGGGGTCGGACCAGCAGTAGGGATGCTCACAGGTGGTGTTGGAGGTGCTCGGATCCAGTATATGACACAGTGCCTTAAAGCAGCGGATAATTCCTGCATCACAAGGCTGCATGAATGATGTCATATTTGGCTCGAAAAATTCAAGTTGCACGTTTGTTGGCTCATAAGATATTGTGTGCCCAGAGAAATTGTCCACAAATAGACACACATGTTGACTTTCGCTATGCATCTTGTAATCAAATTTCTTGACCCATCTGTACATAGTCCAGTCAGCTCACAACTAAGCCAAAAAGATTGATTCTTTTACTCTTCAAAGAGGATAGCTGTCATCCAGGCTTTCTTATTGTTGCAGTAATAGAAGCCTCGCTGCTCGGGTGACTGATTTTTAAGGCATCATGGCTTCTTGGATTTCCCAATGTAGATCACATCAAAATTTTGGCTGCCATCAGCATTGCATGCAAGCCCAACAGTTATATGAAACTTTTCTTTCTTCTTCCCACTCATTTACTTTGTTGTGAGACCATGATCTGGTGGTGCACTAGATACTATGATAAGCATTCAAGTTGTTGCAATTTGAGTTTAGGAGATAGGACTTACAAAGGAAAGAAGCTTGTTTCATCAAAGTTCTACTGATCTTGCGGTGCAAATTTAGACAAGATCTCTTCACATCGTTTACATTCGACTTCAACAGCATCAAGATCAACTGACCCTGCTTCCCTGTGCTGCTGATGCTCACAGATTTTGTAAGCCCTACAAAATGGTGCCAACCACCCCTCTCCTGAGAGCTGCTCCTCCTCTGGCACTTCAAACAGTTCTTCAAATCTCCGCCACTTTTCCTTCATCATTGGCCCATTGACATGCTCTCCCTTCTCCTCCATGTCCCTGACCCATAAAAATAGTGCCCTGTCAACATCGGGCCTTGTGATGATACATGATCACTTTGATGACAAAGTATTTGGATTGTTGTTGATGTGTGCTTCCAATGTTAAATGTTCCTTTAACTTCCGTGACAAAGTTGACTGCATGAAAATTAAAGCCCCTGACTGAAGGCTCTTGAAGTGATTCACAATGTCACATTGTGGCATTGCTGGGTGTGCATCAATGTATGCAAAAACTGTCAACCAATCACTGAGAGTGAGGTTTTGGCATGAGGCTGTGTGAACTGTTGGTTGTGCAGAGGTCACTGGGGTGTCTTTGACCTTTGGTTTTTTGGGCTGTCTCTGATAGGGTGCAGGTTTGTCACCAGGTTTTCATTTCTTGGAAGTCATTGTAAGAATGAGGTGGGTGCTACAGTCCTTCGCAACATAGTCCAGACTCCCTCTAAATACATTAAAATTCAATGATCCAAACAAGACCACCCAGCCAAAAGTGCTATCTCATAATGCATAATGGTCACTTAAGTCTATGCATTATGATTCAATTTCTCACTGTCCCATAGTAGGACCATCCCAAACATGATGCACTATGAGATTTATGCAATATGAGCCTATGCATTATGAGATATTGTACTGTACTAGACTATGTTCCGAAGTCAAGGAGACATTGAGGCATGATGTGTGACCTGTTACGATGCTCAGATGATTAGATGGGGTATGTCAGAAATTTCCTAAGTCGGTTGCAACCACGTACCTTTGAGACTCAGTATCAACCGTATTGATACTGGGTCGAGATCTTTGTACCTATTAGTGTTGCCGCAGTTCTCGGTTATAGCCAGAGCTATTGTTAGCCAAGCCTCATAGCTGGTTATAGATATGTAATGTATGGCGCAGCCCAGCTAATGTAGCCGCAGTTATCTGTTTTCAGCCAGCTCAAGCCGACTTTAAAATTAGATTAGACACATGATAGCAAACAGAGGACGTTGGTGTAAAAAACTCGTTTCCGCAGTGAGTAGTGCAGCCACCGCTGATGCCTTTACGGTAGCTCATAGGGTTTGTAAGGGTGGGTGTGAGCATGAGCGTTCGACGGCTTGTTGATGGATGAGGTCAGTGGAAGTGTTCTGTTTGAAGTCTGGTGTGGTGGATGGTTGACCGTAAGCGATGTTGTACCCTATACTGGAGTTGAAGAGAACGGGGTCTTGAGGGACTGTGACAATTGTGCGACAGAGGCTTGAGAGTGTTACTGTCGAGATGTCTTGTCCATCAATGAGGATATGACCTTGTCCGGGTTGGAGGTCATAGAAACGATAGAGGAGGCGCAAAATTTCTCAGTGTGCACGGGGCTTTGGTTGATTGTACAGTATACACCACCGAGGTTTGAGAGAGGGAAAGAAAACATGACATGAAACAGATGAAGCACCTGGGGCAGGGAAAGGCCTGGAACAATTCCCTTAGCATCTGTACACCGTCATTGAGATTGAAACCAGCTGCAAGGGAGAAGTCAAGAAGATGCGTTTGAGAGAAGAAATGAGTTAATGATTGAAATCAAGCTATCAATGAATGTAAGTCCAGAAGGACGTAAGATACCAGCAGGTAAACAAAAAATGATGAAAAACAAGAGAGAAAAGTCATTATGGCATTTCATAGACGGTGGCGGCATCCTCAACATTGTCACACTCCTGGTCTGCAATAACTTTGAGAAGTGTCTCATGTGAGCTACTGCCACCTGAAACTCTACTAATGTTAAGTGTTGAAAGCTCGTCAGTCTCTGTGTCACGTAGTAGTTCATATTCCATGTCCCATTGTGATGCGGCCCATCCTTTGGTGAAGTTGAGTCTCTCTTTTTTCAGGAAGAACTTGACAATTTGTAGCGCCTCCATCAGCACTGGGCTGAGGCAGTTACGCTTCTGTGTGTCGGTCTCACTGCTTGATGAAAACATGCGCTCACAGGGGACGGCAGATGCCTGTATTGGGAGATAGTCCAAAGCAATTGCATAGACAGTTGGAAACATGGTGTGAGAGGCCTGGTTAACAATTCATAGTCAGTAATGAAAGGTCTAACACGAGGAGATAGAAAGATCTTACGGTCCAAAATGAGAGAATATTTGTTCCATTGGGGCTGTGAGTAGCGGTGCTATAAGCATCGAACTCCTGAATGACCGTTTGGGTGCCTTCATCACAACCCGACAGTGAGTCCACCTCAGGAAGTCCATAGAGGCGTGACCCTAGTGTGTGTGACTGTCACTGTACTGCTTGTATGGTTGGTGCAGAGTCGGAAGCCTGGGTCCCCCTCTTGGTATGCATCTGCATAACGTATTAGTTCAATGTGCGCTGCTATTAGCGAAAGACATTCAAGGTTAATGATAAAGTTCTTGGCATTCTGAGTCCGCTGTTTGTCCCAATGATGTTCCATCCATGACATCCGCAAAGCAGGATCGATGACTATAGAGGGACTGACAACTCAGTGATGAGAACCAAACTCTCGTCAGAATACACAGGACTAACACATGGAGACTGCGTAAGCGTTGGTGGCACCCATCTGATCATCATATTTATCTGCCCACAGCAAACCTATGTTAATCAGAGGTGCGAAGTGTGGAAATTTCTTCGCTATGTGATCCCACCGCTGAATTAATCGTTCAAAGGTTGGAACCGCACCACTGAGCGTAGGATTACTTTCGCTTGACATGGCCTGTTGAGTAGCATGTGGTACCTAAATCACACAGTAAGATGGATCATATATTTCAAATGCATTAGCACTGACCTCTAAAATCACCTTGAGATCCTGTAGAAAGTGCCACTCCATGGGAGTTAATTTTTTGTCAGCAATCAGGTGTTGATTCGGGTTTGCAAAGAACAAGTCCATGGCCTTGTCACTATTAGTCCACAACAGATGATTGGTGTAGTGAAGGTTTGCTTACCTGGCGAAGGGTTCGCAAACGATTCAGCATGATGTAGACCGAGTCCCAACGTGTTGGCTCATCAAGAAGCAGTTGCACAACAGGCAGCTTGGTAGGTTGACCTGTGTGGTCTAGGAACCATTTGTTCTCGTTACCTGTGAGAATGGTGACTTTGAAACTGTCCTGACGCTGGTTCGATATGCGGATTGTGCGCACGAGCACTCTGGCTTGATTGAGGGCTTTAGCATGCAGGGCTTGGACATACACTGTCTTGCTGATGGTCTGAACGCCAACTACCCATGACTTGTCCATGTCTGAAAAGTCAGCAGTATGGTACTCGTCAATGATATGTTTGACACATATGTTGATTATATGGGGGAAGCACGGAATTCGGTGCCCAACAGGATCAAACTCTATCCCACATTCCCGCAGTAGGTGTGAGTACTCTTGCATAGATGTGTGATTATTGCCGGCATTATCCATAGTAAAATGACCGGACTAAGCGAATTCAGAGCATGCCATGCAGTACAACTAAAACACTCACTTTCTCAGTTACTTCAGCACGATCGAGGAGGCCCAATATCAATCGCCCTAAGCAGTCTCCCATGTGACTCCCTGGTGTGTGATTGAAAGCTATCAATGCTGCCTTCAAAATAAGCACGGAACTTTGCTCATCTTTGGCAATCCAGTGGGCGGTGATGGCCATGAATGGGCGGAGGTTAGAGTCCGACCATAGATCAGACGTAAATGAGATCTTTCCCTGCACCATCTGGAAGATTTAAGATATTTTGCGCGACCCTTGAGAACTGTACACTTACCGCAAGGTCCCTTTTCAGGACCTCAAAGTACTCGTTAAAAGCCTCAAGGATTAACTCCCAAAATTTTGTGCAATGGCAGATGTCGCTATCATTCAACTCAGGTCACAGAAGACGAATCAAACGTCGAAATTCGGGACATTCCACAACGTTGATTGCCTGAAGGCGTTATTAAGAATAGCACATAGGAAGTGAACAGTAACCCACCTGATCGTCTGCCACAACAAACCTCACAAGCTGTTGATGCATCTCGTCAACAGTGAAGTTGGGTATCTCATCCTTCAGAGAACCTGACTGCCTGGTTCCAAGCAGTACGTCATCATGATTAGGGACGTCTCCGAGTGAATCCATTGTGCAAGACAGATCCCTGAGCCTTTCATGTATCGTTGTGACTGTCCATCCTTGCTCAAGAAGAGCGTTTAGAGGCTTGATCTGTATGGGCCAACCATGGCACCCTGCCTCCTCCAAGTAAAGGATGGTATGATGGCTATATATGTGAAAACAAGGACCTGTATTGCTTGTGGTACTGCTATACGACGTGACCTTGTATGTTGCGTCAAGTTCATATAGTCGTCTGGCGAAAGATGTAAGAGAAAAGAAGAACAGCAGGTATGATACTCACTCACAAAGTATGCAAACATTACGCCCAGTAGTTGGATGCAGTCTGTAAAATAAATGAACATCATCAGCACCTTTAGCCTTTCTTGTGAGACCACCAGTAGCCAAGAGATCAGTTTGTGTGGGATATGGGCTGTTAATGACCGTCTGAAGCGGGCTAGGGACTGTGGGAGCCATAACTCTAGGTGCAGGTGGGTGATCCTCTTCCTCTTCATCGTCATCAGAGATATCATCAAGATTGAAGATTTCCCCTTCATCAGCCATAGGTTGAGCACGACTGGGGTCAGCGTGGATTGAAGCATTATCCCAATATCTGTGAGGGAGCTGGCGATTTCGACGAGGTTTCATAAGTGCATTTGCAATTGAACCAACAGCAGCGGGGATGGGAACAGCAGGGATGGGAATGGTGGGGATTGGGACAGCAGCAGGCATGGCAGTAGCTGGCTGTGCATGCCGGTGACCTGGCATGTTGGTAGTAGACTGGTGGTGATGATCTAAGGACAAAATCAAGTGTTTATATAAACCTTCGTCAGACGCTGAAAATGCCGATTTGAACTAAAGCTAACCTTAATCCACAGGGTTGAAAGTTACTCCATCAATAGAGTGGGAGGCCTATGAAAAAAACAGGCTTGCGATTAGTTGAATCGATTGAGTAAAATAAAATTTACCTCACCATTGAGCGAAAGGGCAGTATTATATTTAATGGAATATCCCCCATGTGGCATCCAATGAAGTCATCCAGTGAAAGGGCAGCAACACGTTTGATGGAAAGTCCCCTGGTAGGCGTGCGATGAGGGATCTCGGAGTCTGTCGATAAACGTTCAGTGACTAGTCATTGATCAACATCAACATTACCTTGCACTATGGTCTGTGGGGCTGAATCACTAGCCATATGTTAGATTTGATGAGCTTTGAGGGTAGGATGTTCAGTGATGACTCTGATGAGTCCCTTGCAAGTCACAAATTCCCATCATGGCATGGACTGAAGTAAAATATTACTACTGCCAATTGTCACGCTGCAAGGCAGATACCACATGAATCCTGTCATATGATACCCTACCTCAATTGATGATATTACTCTTAGCCTCAAAATTTCTTCTTGCATCTGAGTCCTTAATGCCGCATGGTTGATACACGCGCACTTGTATGTTATGTCACGCACTGTCAGTAGGTTGTATCGCGTACTTGACACGTGTATTGCACACTCGACGGTTGTATCGCACAGTTTATCAAAGTGGCATTTGGAGCATCATACAAGTACTGCATCAATAGGACGTGGTACAGTGTGGTTTGCTGTAGCATACAAAACAATGTAATTGATACAATGCGCGGGCATACAGAATGGTAGTAGGACATAATGTACAATCCAACAGGGTGCAGAACAGCATGGTATATGTGGGATACTGTTGGCGAGAAGATATGTACAAGTATATGACTACACATATTTAACAGTGTCATGATTTATCTAGCACATTGCAGTGAGCTGTTACACGGGCGTAAACTTCCAAAAAAACAAGCCTCAGTTCATGAGTATGAAGATGAAAGGGAGCACTTACACACAAGTCGATTTACGAAGAGGCGTTGCTTTCAGCAGAGATGAAGGCACTGCCTTAGCCACACTGTGTTCATCAGAGAATGCAAGGGCATGTATGACAGGATCAGACTCGCTGAAATCCAGCAAGGATGAAGCTGGTATAGGTAAGGTAGCATGAAGATCATGGAGTAATGAGCGAAGGTAGTTGTAATCAGGATCCTGTGAGAACGCAAGGGAGCATGTGTAAATGAGAAGACTTGCAAACCCAACAGGGATTCCATGACATAAAACTTCAACGGTAGTGTTTACTTTGCATTCCAGCATGGTAGAGCTGGAGAGCTTCTCGTGGTCGTCGGTTAACCATGGAAGAGATCCACACAAGAGATATATTAGTGTATATATCAGCGACCCAATATCATCACAACGACCTGTCTCAACTCCCAAATGACTGTTGATCGAGGCGAACGCAGGGGTGCCAGTGAGATTTTGGCCTTGGCGAAATGGCACATGGGTTCTAGTCGAAGTGCTGCAGTACTCCTTTGCGATACCAAAGTCGACAATGAAGGCAGTGTGCCTCAAATCATTTAGACCTACCAATATATTCTGCGGTTTAATATCACCGTGCACAAAATTGTGTGAGTGGATATATTCGAGATGTGAGAGCTAGAAAGATGGTGTCAGTTCTTTGCAACAACACATTGTAAAGCAACTTACTAGTTGGTCTCCTAGATTCACAACATTGCAAAGGCTGAACTGTCGATTGCATGCAATGAAGAGATCGTGTAATGATGGCCCAAGGAGGTCAAGAACCAAAGCATAGTATGTCAACTCTCTACCAAACCACAAGGCGCGGGGGATCCCAACTCCACCTGCAAGTCATTTTAAAATGTTGTATTCATGCTGCAAAGACGAGTGGTTGATGGTGGGTTCAAGTTTAATAGCAACTGAATCATCCTTTAAGAAGTTTTGTGCGCGGTACACAACAGCTAAGAGCAGGTCATATGTTGAATGTGAATCAATATATCATCACCAGGAGAGAATCACATACCATATGCGCACGAACCCAGAACATCTCCAAGCCTGAATCTGCCATCAACGTGGGTAGGGACTTTGTTCATAGTACAAATTACTGTAGAAGCTCGATAGAGAACATCTAACCAACAAAAGAGGGAATGAGGAAAGGTCTTACCACATGTTACTAGCTGGCTTGTGCCGGCTTTAACCAGCTCAAGCTGTGGTTCATACATTCCTGGCTTTAGCTGGTTTGCGTGGCTGGCCAACGCTGCAAACCAGTCCACATGGCAAATCAGTGGCTCGGCTCACCAGAATCGCCAAACTACTGGCATATCGGTAAATGCTGAACCTGAGCAGACCCGAACCAAACTGCGGCATTACTAGTACCTATGTTCCATATTGATACTTAGTAGGAATATTTATACTGAAGTTACCACATTGATAGGGAAATTGGGTTATTTGTGGTGAGTCACATTATTGATACCGTGTGACAACCTCATTGAGACTTTGATTATGTACTTTTGAATTGTACATCTTTGATTCCAGTGTGCGCTGCAGTGCTGTCCGATCTAGTCAACACTTCCTCCTGTGACACAACCATTTGTGGCCCCCAATAGGTTTTTTTCCATCTTGCTAACCTGTCAGTATCATCTTAAAGTCTGAATCTAATACTTTAGTCTACTGATGCATTAATATGACAGAGGGCCATAACTGTTATTATGCCTGAAGATCACTATCACCTGTGTTCATTTTGTGGCACATCCTACCATTGACAAGGTCTTCAGACACACGAAAATGCATGTCAGAAGTAATCTGAACAGATGAGAGAGGATATTGAGCTTGCTAAAGAGATTTGCCAAGGTATGTCATAATAACAGTCTGTTGATTGATGTCACATTGATTAATCAACCTGCAGAGAGAGAAAATAACGTGCAAATATGGTCTGAGTCCGTGTTCATTGGCAAACAACTGTCCAGCTCAGTTCTTTGTATATTGTGACTAATATCTAGTTCACAGCCTTTACCATTCTTGACTTATTTTGGGCCTTTGATTCAAGCCACTGCCTATCATCATTCATGGGATAATGATGTTTTTGATATCAATGGTCCTATAGACTATCCCAATGATCACAATATTGGACAGATGAATGGTATGTTTCTTTTCTCTGCTTTCCTGTCCATTCAGCTTACAACTTTCCTTTCAGGATCTCCACCACCCAAATCTGGAGCAGCCTCACCTCAACCCCAGTTTGAGGAGGATGACATCTGGGTGCTGTTACAGGGACTTTATGTATCCACCTCAGCACCACTTACTCTTTTTCTCCTATCGTTCATAATCACTATCCGTCACCAAAGCAACTTTCATCAAACCGTTCTCTTGGCTTATCTTTGGTGGCTTATTGCTATCTCCCTGCTTATATGGTTCATCTGTTATCTCTGACTCAAACCCCATGCCCTTACCACAGTGTCGGTACTTACCCTTGGCCCTTACCGCTCAACCGATACACTTACTTTTGCATATATAAATGGTTGTGTATGCTGTAGTAGCCCTAACTTGAATCTACTCAGTATCACTCCTAAAGCCTCAGGACAGAGGGATAGTGTTAGAGACCATGCTCGGATGGAGAAGCAGAGGGGTCAGGGCTTGGCTTCAGCTCTTGCACTGCGCCATTAGCTGAGTACGTGCCCCAAATTTGTAGTGGGTCTGATGATGTCTGACAATAGGACGGGCAGACTGCTTTGGTCCGCTTTGCAGGTCGGGAAATAAACACTACTAGCAGTGATCCAACTAGAAGCGGAGTGGGTGAAGCGGAGGAGGTGTGTTGGGACAGAGGGGAGTAAAGGGTTTGATTGGTTGGGTCGGAGAGGTAAGAGTAAATACTTAGAGCGCGGCTCTAAGTCAGAGCAGAGGGTCAGAGGTGATGACAAGATAAACTTGTGTCCAATCCCCTAGGCCGGCAGACAGGAGTTGTCAAGGGTTTTGCCCAAGAACAAGAGCAAGAGAGCAGGGCTTAGAAAAGGTAATATTTAGACTAAAGATCTACAGACAGATGTACATATGTTTATATACTCTAAGTAAGTAGCATAGCATAGCAAAAGGTTATGTGCTGAGTGTACAGAATTACTAGAAAGATGACTGAGACATACAAGAAAGAGGCTCAGAGAATAGTATGTACACAACAGATCAATAATCGCTCAGGTATAGGGATTACTGGTGATCCAAAAGGAGGAACTCATGATATCAAAAGGAGGTAGGACCAGTTGAGTGGTTCCTAGTCTAGAGGTGAACCAGTGAGGCGGTCAGGCGGACTAATACAAGAGAAAATGGAGGAACCAAGTGGGTCGGAAAAGCGGAGATGGTGGAGGGAGTAGGAGTAGGATTGGGCAGACCAATAGGTTGGAGGAGTGGAGCTCCAGATAGAGTTGGATGGTAGGGATATGGTGTCGGAGGAAATAGGGGTAGTGTCGGAGGAGCGGAGCGGAGTTGGGCGGAGGTAGCAGGCCTAGTCCTGCTAAGATGCACTTCGTGCATTTGTCAGAGAAGGAGGGCTGGAGTGGACAGGGAAACAGGGGGCTGGACCAATGGTGGGGATGTTCGCAGGTGGTACTGAAGGTGCTCAGATACAGTATATGACACGTCAGATCAGTTAGTTGAGTGGTTATAGAAAGTACTGGTGATCCGGGAAGTAAGTGTTATGTGCAAATGGGGAAAGTATATACCTAATTGGGGAAAGAGTTTACAGTGAGTGGAGACAATGCGGAAAGTAACTGATGAGGTGGTTGAGCAGAAGCACAGGAGTGGATGTAGAGGACAACTGGGTCGAGCAGAGGGTGGACAGAGCAGAGGTGGTAGGAAAGCGGGGAAAGTGTAAGGTTGGGCAGAGCAGATATTAATATTGTCGGAGTGGTCAGATCAGGTATATGACAGATAGCACAAAAGCTAGATAGCAAGCCTCATTGCTTCTATCAATCTACTTCTTATTCTACCTTGGACTCTCTGTCCAGATAGTCTCATCAAACAATACTTTGTTGCACTAGACCAACACCCCTTGCGAGTGTCTAGCGTGGAACCAACTGAGTTTGTAACAGGTGCAGTATCATCCAAATAGTTGGTGCCCTACACAGGTTTATTATTTTGAGGAATATGGATGTGGTCCTGGTGCCCCCACAGTAGTTCCACCAGTCAAACCTGAGCCATGGTGCCCGTTCCGAACTTGGATTAACTTTGAAGTTGCAGAACTCACCCATGAAGCAGTGCTCACTCACCAGCAGACGGACTGGCTTCTCAACCTCATTTGTTGCAGCAAGTATGAACAATTCATGCTTTGGAATTGCAAAGATGTATGAGATACATGGGATGCAGCTTCATATAAATTGACACCTGTTAGTATTCAATTGCTTCGAGTGTGAACTAATTTAAGTCATTTTTCCTTTGTGATAATAGTTTGTAAAGGAAGAGGTAGTTGTGCCTTTTTAAGGTGATGATAAGACATTTTAACTATTCCATCGCTTGATATGGGATTGGGCTGTGAATCTCCTTCAGGATCCCCAAGTTGGTCCACATTTTGTCTTCAATGCTAAACAGCTTTTAAAGTTTAATGACGACAAATTTGTTTGGTTCATTCACGAGCCTTGAACTGCCAACACATTCTGGGAGTATCAAGTATGCAACACTATTATTTTATAGATCTGTGTCATGTATTAATGTAGCATTATAATAGTCAAAAATACCACCAGATACCAAGCCTCTTGCCTTCATTCTTTTTGCCAATAAGACTAAATTATCATCATTTGGTTGGGCAAAAGGCTATCCTGTTGTCGCTTGGCGTGCTAACATTCCTGCTGAAATTTGTAATGGAGAAGGCTTGGGTGGTGGGTGTGTAGTGGGATGGCTACCAATTGTTAATTCTGCACTTCACTTAATAACCATGAACATTGTTAACTAATGGCACTTTGACAGGTGAAGGAGGACAAGAAGCACTCTGGAAAGCTGGCATTTATTAACTTCAGAAATGCAGTATGGCATCAATCATTTCTGAAGATCCTTGCCTGCCTCACACCACTGTCAAAGATTGGATCTGCCATTAAATGCTGGGATGACCTTGTCCATATCTTCTATCCAATCATACTCATACTCTCTGCAGACTATGAAGAACAGTTAGTGTTGATTTTAGTCTAATTAATGGTCCCTCAGTAATATCCCTGACACTCTTGCAGGTCTGTGATGGCATTGATTTGTGGTCTGATGTGAAAATTCCCTTGCCCTATATGTCTTGTACCTCATGATGAGCTCTCTAAGACATCTGATGTGTATCCTCTTCACACATCTGCAAGTGCAAAGGCATTATGTGCTTGGGCCCAAGAGTCTACAACATTGGAAGCAAGAGAACAAATATTTAGCTCTGAGAGCCTTTGTGATGTTGATGTAAGTCTTTCCTTTGGTTCTCATCCTAATTTTAAATTGTCTACCATTTGTGATTAGAATTCATTTGATACCATGGAGCATACTGATGTTTATGAAACTCTTCACATGACAAACTCCACTTTAATGACAAAGGCCTTTTCAGTGATCACCAGTGGGCCAAACTGCAGAAATAGGTCGAACATTTAGGTTGACAAGCTGCTGTGCTGATTGATAGCTTGTGCGCACTTTTGTCTATATTTTACAAAGACACTAATTTAGATTTCCAGCTTTCACTTGTTTCCACACTGGCAAAATCTCAATCATTTTGACCAGGTTGTATCAGTATCTTTTCTGATGGAACAAAGTACAAAGATATATCAAAGGCAGGTTATATACTCTAGACTATTTACTATTAAATCAATTAATGTAAATCATAAATCTAGCTTATTGTCTTTGCAGCTCATAATGTATTTAATCAAGATCAAGATCCGGAGGCTTATCTTCTGCTCTGTTGTATCTGTAGCTACATGGAATTCAAGATGTATGCTTCATTAGAGGTCCATACTGAAGATACTATCAACAATGGCCGGAAAGCTCTGGAAAAGTTGATTGAACTGATGTATGTATGTTCAATTGTATACTATATTCTCAACCAACAACATTGATTCAAATTCTATTATGTGACAAGTCATGGAATTTCCTCAAGAAGCATCTTTCCATGCATCTTTTCGATGATATTGGAGCCCCTTCAGTGACAAATCCCGTACTATACGGGTCACCCAACCTACATAATATCCCGTGTAATATGGGCCAGCGGATTATGGGCTGATGTTATGTATATTCCCGATGTTGACGGGTGGGCCCATCTATGCTGATGTTATATATATCATCGATGATGGCAGATGGGCCAGGAGAAATATTATTATGGAGATGGGTGGTCCCATGTGGGTAATATGTAGAGTAGGATTGACATATATTATAGACCTGAGGAGAGATGTATAGCAAATATTATTATATAGACGGGTGGGCCGACATATTAGTATTATTTTGTAGACAGATGGGCCGAGGGAGTGGTGGAATATTTATTACATAGATGGGTGGGCCGACATAGGGAAATATTAGATAGACGGGTGGGCCGAGGGTGAGGTGAATTATTTATTACATAGATGGGTGGGCCGACGTAGGGGTATATTAGATAGACAGGTGGGCCGAGGGTGAGGTGAAATATTTATTATATAGACGGGTGGGCCGACATGGGTTAATATTAGATAGACGGGTGGGCTGAGGGTGAGGTGAATTATGTATTACATAGATGGGTGGGCCGACATAGGGAAATATTACATAGATGGGTGGGCCGAAGTGGGGAATTTTACCTAGACAGGTGGGCCAACGTCGGGTAATATTAGACAGACGGGTGGGCCCAGATACGTATCATATAGACAGATAGGCCTAGGTATTGGTATACTATATCCACGAAAGCGCTGAAAGAGAACCAGAGAGCTGCCTCGTGTCGACTCAGACTCAGCGACGAGTGATACTAATAAGATCACAGTCATGTTTCACCACAGTGCTCATCAATCAAAACATCTTTGTCAAGTAGATAGATACCAGAAAGCCTGAATACACCATGTCTGACATTCACCAAGTAATGAGTACCGAGTACTGAACCCTGAAACCTGAAACCGGAGCCCCGAACACCCAGACTGGAGACTCGAGAGAGACTCAACTTGAAATTCAAACCTCAACTGGAAACTCATACATTTTTACGAGTTTCAAGTCGAGTACCGACACCCGACACCCGAGTACCGAGTACCGAGTACCGATTACCGACACCCGAGATTCAGTACTCGGTACTCAGTGATTCGAGTCTCAGGATTCGAAACTCAGATTTATTCGAGTTTTGAGTTTCAAGATTCAAGATTTGAGTTTCAAGTTTCAAGTTTCAAGTCAAGTACCGACACCCAACACCCGAGTACCAAGTACCGAGTACCAACACCCGACACCCGAGATTCGGTACTCGGTACTTGGTGAAATGTGTACAGAAATACAAATGTAAGATGATACACACGAATCACCGAGTACCGAGTACCAACTCGGATCTTAACATATTGATGTCGTGAGACCATGGATAGACTCCCCTAGACAAGGGCTACAACTTTGGTTTTCATCGAAAAAGTTCCCACAGTCTACAATATCGAGTCCTGAGCACTGGGCACCAGGCACCGGGCACCGAGCACCGAGCACCGAGCACTGAATACTCGGTACTCAGTACTTAGTACTCAGTTCCCAGTACTTGATACTCAATGCTGAATATCTTGGTACTCAACTGAGCACCGAGCACCGAGCACCAGGCACCGGGCAGATATTTATCTAAAAAGTTCCCATGGTCAAAGTGCTTTCTTGAACACTCCATTTGCAAGTATTTTGCTTATATCTTACTAGGATTTTAACCTATTGATGTCATGAGACTTCGGATAGACTCCCCTAGACAAGGGCTACAACTTTGGTTTTCATCGAAAAAGTTCCCACGGTCTACAATATTGAGTACCGAGCACCGAGTACCAAGCACTGAGCACTGACTACCGAGCACCAAGCACTGAATACTCGGTACTCAGTACTTGGTACTCAACTGAGCACCGAGCACCGAGCACCAAGCATTGAGTACCGAGCACCGAGTACCGAGCACCGAGTACCAAGCACCGAGCACTGACTACCGAGCACCGAGCACCGGGCAGATATTTATCTAAAAAGTTCCCATGGTCAAAGTGCTTTCTTGAACACTCCATTTGCAAGTATTTTGCTGATATCTTACTAGGATCTTAACCTATTGATGTCATGAGACTACGGATAGACTCCCCTAGACAAGGGCTACAACTTTGGTTTTCATCGAAAAAGTTCCCACGGTCTACAATATCGAGTACCGAGCACCGAGCACTGAGTACCGAGCACCGAGCACCGAGTACCGAGCACCGAGCACTGACTACTGAGCACCAAGCACTGAATACTCGGTACTCGGTACTTGGTACTCAACTGAGCACCGAGCACCGAGCACCGAGCATTGAGTACCGAGCACCGAGCACCGAGTACCGAGCACCGAGCACCGAGTACTGAGCACCGAGCACCGACTACCGAGCACCGGGCACTGACTACCGAGCACTGACTACCGAGCACCGAGCACTGGGCAGATATTTATCTAAAAAGTTCCCATGGTCAAAGTGCTTTCTTGAACACTCCATTTGCAAGTATTTTGCTTATATCTTACTAGGATCTTAACCTATTGATGTCATGAGACTATGGATAGACTCCCCTAGACAAGGGCTACAACTTTAGTTTTCATCGAAAAAGTTCCCACGGTCTACAATATCGAGTACCGAGTACCGAGCACCGGGCACCGGGCACCGAGCACTGAATACTCGGGACTCGGTACTTGATACTCGATGCTCGGTACCTACTCAATACTCAATACTTGGTACTCAGTACTTGATACTCGATGCTGAATATCTTGGTACCTACTCACTACTCAATATGTACCTTAACACTTTTGAACCCTTCATTTTCGAGTATTTTGCTTATACCTCACTAGGATCTTAACCTATTGATGTCATGAGACTATGGATAGACTCCCCTTGACATGGGCTACAACTTTGATTTTCATCGAAAAAGTTCCCACGGTCTATAAAATTGAATACCAAGCACCAAGCACTGAATACTCGGTACTCAGTACCTACTCGATACTCAAAACTTGGTACTTGGTACTCAGTTCCCAGTACTTGATACTCAATGCTGAATATCTTGGTACTCAACTGAGCACTGAGCACACTGAGTACCCACTACTGAGCACCAAGCACCAAGCACCAAGCACCCAGGTATGGGGTCTATTTCTATGAATATTGGTAGTAGATACATCATATAGATAGACCAGGACACCTACATGATCCTTCCATAGGAACAACACTTGACAAATTACAATTGTGACATTTTGATATGTTTTACCACCCTACCCTTACACAGATTATCCAAGTTACTCATAGACTGTCATTATTACATTTATTATGCTAAGGATCAGTGATATCTAGGCCAGAAATTTGAGATCTGATGTAAAGGGGATATTTTTTACTGATCAAAAGCCCACATGGTAAATGATAGCCTTAAAGGCTTAGAAAGATCCATCCAGGATTGAGTGAATGACAAGCAAAACAATATATGTGTGAAAAGTGACAATTGACATCTGTTCACACAAAGTCACATTTATATATGATACAGGTTGAAGATTTCATTAAAAATGTGTAGGATACATGGTGGACTACCTAAGGAACCTATACTGCATACTGCCCTGAGGGTAGAGTGTTGGTGGGAGGGATGTGGCATAGAAGTGTTTGAATTGGTTGCCCATAGCCAAGGATACACCAACTGACCATTTTCGATGTTTGGGGCATTTGAGCTTTGACGTTTCCCACACTCGATTTCTTATCTATTTCACTTCCCCAGCTCTCAATTCCTGGTGGATCTTTCTGTAATTTTAGATCCATCATACTGAATATATGTGAAATATACTCTAGGTGTCTGATCATTAAAGTTCAATAATTCAGAGATATGGGCCTTTTATCAGTAGAAATATCAAGTATATACACCATCTCAAAGCAACAGCATATTTTGAGCTGATCCTGGTCATGAAAAGCAAGTATATATGCTATGCTAATGATATATGAATATATTGGATTATTTATGCAAGGATAGAGCAGTCAGAAACATGAGAAATGTGAAACACATGATTTACCAATTTTTGTTGCTGTAGAAGGATTGTGTAGGTGTCCTGGTCCAGTGATATGATGTATCTGAGGGAGGGTACACTATACAGGTACTTGAGTATCAAGTATTCAGTGCTCGGTGCTCAGTACTTGATACTCGGTACTCAATACTTGGTATTCAGAACTCAGTGCTCAGTGCTCAGTGCTGAGTACAGAGTATTGAGTATTGAGTATTGAGTAGGTACCAATTACTGAGTACTGAGTGTTGAGTATCAGGTAGGTACTGAGTGCCAAGTATTCAGTGCTTGGTGCTTGGTACTCAATACTCGGTACTTGATACTAAATACTAAATACTTGGTAGTCAGTACTCAGTGCTTAGTGCTCAGGTGAGTACCAAGATATTCAGCATTGAGTATCAAGTACCAAGTACCAAGTATTGAGTATTGAGTAGGTACTGAGCATCGAGTATCAAGTACCAAGTACCAAGTATTGAGTATTGAGTAGGTACCGAGTACTGAGTATTCAGTGCTCGGTGCTTGGTACTCAATATTCAGTACTTAATGTTCGGTACTCAATACTCAATACTCAATATACTAAATGCTCGGTAGTCAGTGCTCAGTGCTCAGTTGAGTACCAAGAGATTCAGCATTGTATACTGAGTACCGAGGTCTGAGTATCAAGTAGGTACCAAGTACCGAGTATTCAGAGCTCGGTGCTCGGTACTCAATATTGTAGACCGTGGGAACTTTTTCGATGAAAACCAAAGTTGTAGCCCTTGTCTAGGGGAGTCTATCCGTAGTCTCATGACATCAATAGGTTAATATCCTAGTAAGATATAAGCAAAATACTTGCAAATGGAGTGTTCAAGAAAGCACTTTGACTGTGGGAACTTTTTAGATAAATATCTGCCCGGTGCTCGGTGCTCGGTAGTTGGTGCTCGTTAGTCAGTGCTTGGTGCTCGGTAATTGGTGCTCAGTACTCGATATTGTAGACCGTGGGAACTTTTTCGTTGAAAACTAAAGTTGTAGCCCTTGTCTAGGGGAGTCTATCCATGGTCTCATGACATCAATAGGTTAAGATCCTGGTAGGATATACAGTGGCTCAAAAAACTGTCCGCATGTTTTCACATTTTTCACTATCTATGATATTGTGTGAGAATATACAAACACATCAAGGACATGCTGGTACCACATTGTAGTACTACTTCAGGGCTTCCAATTGAGCCCTATGGCGTGGGAATCGGTCGAGATATGGTGGAGATATAAGGCTTACAAAATGATGACTCATGTGGACAGTTTTTTGACTCAAGTATTTTACAGTGATAATCAGGTATTCCAGTACATTGTGTGACCTCCCTTGGCTTTAATTACTGCCTATATCCTTCTAGGCATACTCTTAAAACTATATCTAACTATATAAACCAGAATGTGTCATGTGTCATGGTCATAATCACCATGAAAGCCATCTCCTCTGCTCAAAGGGATAATATCCTCTCTTTGTCCTGTGCTGGCCTCTCTGCTCATTAAATTTCCTCTAGAACTGAAGTATGCAAGTCTACTGTGGCCATGTGTATCAAAGAAAGCCACCTGGACAAGGAAAACTCTTGTGGAGGACATCCACCTCTGCTAATAAGAGGGCTATCATTCAACATATCACTACAGGAAAGGCTAATAATGCTGTCCAAGCCACCCATTATATCAATTCCACCATCACCACCACTGTCTTTTCACAAACTGTGAGGAGTGTTCTCAAGGCAGCTCATCTCAAGGCAGTAACAAAGAAGGAATGCCTCTTCTCTCTATCAAACATAGGCAGAGAAGACTACCTTTGGCTTGGCCCATCAAAACTGGACTGTAGAGGATTGGAAGCATGTTATATGGTCAGATGAGACCAAAATCAATAGGATTAAGTCAGATGGGAAGGTATATGTATGGAAAAAGAAGAGGGATTTTCTAACAGACAGAGAGGTTAGTGAGACATCAAATTTGGAGGAGGTTCTCTAATGGTATGGGGCTGTATGGGATGGAATGGTGTGGGTATGCTTGCTGAAGTTGAGGGGAGGATGGATGCTGAGCAGTATGTGGACATTCTAAACAACCACTTGCTGCCTAGCATAGCTGAATCAGGGATTGATGAAAAAGACATTATTTCCCAACAGGATAATGATCCCAAGCACACATCTAGGAGAGCCAGACAATGGTTTAAAGAACATATTATCAATGTTCTTGACTGGCCAGCACAGTCCCCTGATGTCAATGTCATTGAACATCTCTGGGGAACACCCAAGAAGAAGCTTCAAGCCTATGAAACCCCCTCTAAAGGAGTATAGGAGCTGTGGGAGAGTGTAGCAGTGGAATGGGCAAGGATTACAGCAGAATATTGCCAGAAATTGATTGAGAGTATGCCTAGAAGGATAGAGGTAGTAATTAAAGCCAAGGGAGGTCACACAATGTACTGGAATACCTGATTATCACTGTAAAATACTTGAGTCAAAAAACTGTCCACATGAGTCATCATTTTGTAAGCCTTATATCTCCACCATATCTCGACCGATTCCCACGCCATAGGGCTCAATTGGAAGCCCTGAAGTAGTACTACAATGTGGTACCAGCATGTCCTTGATGTGTTTGTATATTCTCACACAATATCATAGATAGTGAAAAATGTGAAAACATGTGGACAGTTTTTTGAGCCACTGTAAGCAAAATACTTGCAAATGGAGTGTTCAAGAAAGCACTTTGACCATGGGAACTTTTTAGATAAATATCTGCCCGGTGCTCGGTGCTCAGTGCTTGGTGCTCGGTGCTCGGTGCTCAGTTGAGTACCAAGTACCAAGTACTGAGTATTCAGTGCTTGGTGCTCGGTACTTGGTGCCCGGTGCCTGGTGCCTGGTGCCCGGTGCCTGGGACTCGATATTGTAGACCATGGGAACTTTTTCGATGAAAACCAAAGTTGTAGCCCTTGTCTAGGGGAGTCTATCCATGGTCTCATGACATCAATAGGTTAAGATCCTGGTAGGATATAAGCAAAATACTTGCAAATGGAGGGTTCAAGAAAGCACTTTGACTGTGGGAACTATGTAGATAAAAATCAAAATTGTAGCCCTTGTCAAGGGGAGTCTATCCATAGTCTCATGACACCAATAGGTTAAGATCTACCAAGATATTGAGCATTGAGTATCAAGTACCGGGAACTGAGTACTAAGTACCGAGTGCCGAGTACTGAGTATTCAGTGCTCGGTGCTCAGTGCCCGGTGCCCAGTGCCCGGTGCTTGGTGCCTGGTGCTTGGTGCTTGGTGCTTGGTGCCCGGTGCCCAGTGCCCAGTGCCCGGTGCCCAGTGCTTGGTGCTTGGTGCTTGGTGCTCAGTTGAGTACTAAGATATTCAGCATTGTGTATCAAGTACCGGGAACTGAGTACTAAGTACTGAGTACCGAGTATTCAGTGTTCAGTGCTTGGTACTTGGTACTCGGTGCCTGGTGCTCGGTTCTCGGGACTCGATATTGTAGACCGTGGGAACTTTTTCGATGAAAACTAAAGTTGTAGCCCTTGTCTAGGGGAGTCTATCCATAGTCTCATGACATCAATAGGTTAAGATCTACCAATATATTCAGCACGAGTACCGAGTGCCGAGTGCTGGGTTTCGGCACTTGGTACTCGATGCCCGGAACTTGGTACTTGGCACTTGGTGCCTGGAACTTGGTGCTTGGTACTTGGTGATTTGTTCAATTTATGAAATGTTGTATTTTAGTTTTGTGTTTCGGTGCTCAATGCCCAGAACTCGATGCCCGGAACTCGGTGCCCGGAGCTCGGTACTAGGTACTTGGTGATTTGTTCAATTTACAAAATGTTGTATTTTAGTTTCGTGTTTCGGTGCTTGATGCCCAGAACTCGATGCCCGGAACTCGGTACTTGGTACTTGGTGATTTGTTCAATTTATGAAATACCCGGAAGTCAATATTAGTTACCTGGAACTCGATATTAGTTACCCGGACATCAATAGATGTTACCCGGAAGTCGATATTAGTTACCTGGAACTCGATATTAGTTACCCAGACATCAATAGATGTTACCTGGCCCGTGGATATGATATCAACCATCTCAGCCCACCCATCTATATAATATACTACTACCTCGGCCCATATGTCTATATAATATACTACCACCTCGGCCCATATGTCTATATGATATGTATCTGGGCCCACCCGTATATGTGATATCCAACTACCTCGGCCCACCCATCTATATAATATCTAATAAATTGCTCTCTCGGCCCACCCGTCTATATTATATACCCCCACGTCGGCCTACCCATCTATGCAATATACAACTACCTTCGGCCCACCCATATATATAATAAATATTTCACCACTCCCTCGGCCCACCTGTCTACAACATAATACCAATATGTCGGCCCACCCATCTACAAATAATCTTAATTTGTCGGCCCACCCGTCTAATATGATATATATCTGGGCCCACCTGTCTATGTGATAACAAGCACCCTTGACATACCCAGCTATTTGATACACATCTACCTTGGTGTACCTATCTACATAATATCCAACTACCTCAGCCCATCCGTCTATTGAATATTCATGTCCATCAGCCCACTCATCTACTCTACATATTCCCTACATGGGCCCACCCATCTCCATCGGGAATAATAACACTCCTGGCCCATCTGTCATAGTCGAGGATATATCTACCTTCGGCCCATGGTCCACTGGCCTGTATCATACAGGATATTATGCACTTCCGTTCACTCATATAATACGGAGATATGTTACTGCAATATGTGGATATTGAGGTGAAAGGTGTCACTTGAAACTATAACACAAAACCAAATAAAAAAAATGCATGGCCCACTGAAGGATGTTTATCAGGATTGTACAAACTTCAAGAACTTCACTGAACAGGTAATATGATGCTGCATATTAGTATGTGAACTGAGTGCTGATAGAATTTAAAGATTCTCTGATATAATCACAACAGCCTTATTGCAGAATACATTCATTGCAAGTTGAACTGCCTTGATGCACAAAATCTCAATCTATCTGAGTCAGATCTACCTGATCCAGAGGCCAATGAGATTGATTCAGAGACTGAACCAACAGATAGGCTACATTTCGGTCTTGGCTCACAGCAGGCAACACAGGCAATCCAGCCTTCATTCAATTTCAGATCAAGCTGAATGATTTTTTCAACCATGCATTCAATGCCAACAACATACCATTGCCTGATGGGAGATGAATCCAACTCACTGCTAATGACATGGTGTGTCAACATTGCAGCCCTGAAACACATTTTTACTAATATCTTATTAATACTTTTGATCTGAACCATTGACAGATCACTGAGTATTGATTGTCAAAGTCAACTATGAATCACTTGTTGGCTGGCGAGTATCCACTGACTATCTCCAATGCAGTCCAATGTTCCATGGATTGCCATGATATGATTTTGTTATCCTGCAGACAGAAGCTAGTGTCATCTTCACACAATTGTTGTTGGTTTTCACCTGCATGGTCAG